CTCCTTTTATAGGCTTATTTATGCGATTCGATTTTTATTTTTGTCCTGTATTTTTGTTTGCTAAATTCTGCAACCTTGTACACAGTTTATGTTGAAAAATAAGAAAACTCTTCCTTGTTCCAACAGACAGAGAACTTTGTACTAGAAATTACTTTATAGCATACTTCACAAAAGTTAGGTTAAATGGACCCAAAGCTGTAAGATCTAAAGAGAGGAGTAACATGACCCCAGTTTTGTACAGACAACTTCTGACTTAACACTGATATTAAATAATTCTAAACTAATATGCATCAGATGGATTCATTTTGGTTATATGCTAGATTTAAAAAAATGTTGCACTGAACTCCAATAAGGAAAATCTGCACTTTCTGTAATTTATGTTCTACATGTTCTACATCTTCACTAATTCTGTTGCCTTCCTAGGAGAATTCTTTGTATATCTTCAGCAGCTATTAATCACTACTCCACTTTGTAATTTATTATATCTAATCAAATCAAAGATATGTGAAATTCATGTTTTAAGCATCTTATCCATATAATATTATAGTAAAAGTTGATGTTTTTCCCTATGAAATTTTATGAGTGGCTATTTTTTTTCATACTATAACTTTTGTGACTGGAACAATGGTACAAAGGTCAAGCAAATGAGCATCATTAAGCAATACAACCTGACATTTCTAGGCAACAATTTCCTTGGATGAGGAAATGGAGAAATGACTGAGAGATCACAGCCTCCCCCCTCTCCCTTCCTGCCTCCAGTCATCTCCATTTATTGTGAATGACTGTGCTACAAATTTCTAGAATTTCATTGGAAATTGTAGGGATGCAGGGTTGAGTGCATGGTGCCTCCTAAGGGTTAGTAAACAGACTGGTGATGTGGTTTCTCACATCCAGCTGTAAATGCACTAACCTAGGCTATTAATCACTTCTGCTCCATTTGTAAAGTACATGGGACATCTCCCATAAGATGGGTTCTATTGAATGAGAAACAGTGCTCAAGATAAACACATAGAGAGAATGAGTCTGGGATAAACATAAAGATAAACATAAAAGTCTGGGAGAGTCAGGTGTGGTCTGACCTACAGATAGCACAGATCACCAGGCTACCAACTACATCCTTTTCCAGCCTTCTGGGCAGAAAACGGGTTATACATCTCTTCCTTTCAAAAGACCCTGTGTGTTTATCATTCCTGGTTTCACTAGTGTTTATCCGTGAGAACAAGGACTTCATGCCCTCTACAGGCAAATAGATCGGGCATTTTTAGGGTAAGCAGATAATCTCATGACCCTCCTGCCTCAGCATCCAGAGGACTGGGATTAAATAAAATAGGAAAATCTAAACAAAGTGGGAGGGTGTTGTTAGTGGTAGTGGTGGAAGAACTGGAAGGCCAACTCCAATAATGCCATCAGCAGAGGTCTTTGTTGGTGATGCTTGAGCAGAGACTTGTAGAAAGATAATAAAAGGAGCAAGGCACTTAAATGACTGTAAAAGTTTTCAAGAAGGGGCAACAGCAAGCTGGGCAGTGTCAAGCAGGAACAAGGAAACTCCTAAAGTTGAGACAGAAGGGCCACGACAATGACTATCAGAAAAAAATAAAATAAAATGAGAAAAGCAAGGAGCAAGAGTAGCCATACCAAGAGAAATAATGAAGATGAAAGGTGTGATGGAATTCGTACACCAAAGACCCTAATGGATAAAGATTTGTTAGAGTCATGGCAATAGAAAGAATGTGAGGGAAGGAAGGATGGTATTGGAAAATGGAATACTACACCTAAACATAAGGTACTTTTTGATGTGGGTGTGTGGAAATGGGATGGGGGTGGAGAGATAGCTTCTTGGTTATGGGTATGTACCGCTCTTGCAGAGGATCTGAGTTCAGTTCCAGCTCCCACATCCAGCAGTTCATAACAATCCAACTCCAGCTCAAGGGTCCTGACATCCCCTTCTAGCCTCCGCAGATACTTACATTCACGTGAAGATACCCACAGGCAGACACACATATACACATAATTTTAAAATAAAATAAATCTTAAAAAATAAAAAGGTGTTTGTTACACTACTAAATAGTTTAGGCTGAACTAGTGAATAAGAGTATACTACATGGAGAGGTATACTGTAACTTACAATGAACATTCAAAGCTGAAAACCTTAAAGAGGAGAGAAAACTATCTCAGAACGGAAGGGATGGACAGAGAAGTCACAACCCCTAGTGGTAGAAAAGTCAGGAAGAGGAGGTAAGCTACTACTTGACAGGGTTGTGGTAGACCTAACATATGTTTTAGGAAAGACAAGTTAAGACTGAAAATATGGAGACCTCAGAAAAACACCAATATAAGGATTTTACTAGCAAATGACATAGGTCCTGAGGGAGGAGGGGTTTGGGGAACTAGAAGGAAGTGGGATATTGGAGTCAGCTTTGCTTTCATACATCCCTCCCAGTTTCATATTAGATCATGAGCATTGGAGATAATCAATTTCTTACTTAAAAAAAATTCTTTTGTTCTCTTGCTGCCTTATGCCTGTGGATTGGGATGAAAACTCCCAGCTACTAATCCAGTGCCATGCCTGACTGCTTACTGCCACCATGGCCTCTAACTCTCTGCAACCATGAACTCTAATATTTTCTTATATAAACTACTTTGGTCATGGAGTCTCTTCACAGATACAGAAAAGTAACTAAGATGGGTGTATGGGTGAAGAAAACAGAATATTTCCTATCCATTTTCTCAAAGCCCCTTGGACTCCCTAAGTCCTAGAATTCTGAGTCCTGCTTCGAAAATCGGAGCTGTTTCTAAACCTGGTGCCTTATGAGTCTGCTAATAAATCAAAGCTCCCACTCTCCTAGCCCAAGCTGTACAAAGAAAAAAAAAAAAAAAAAAAAAAAAAAAAAAAAGGATTGAAATGTCTTATCCATCATTTCTTTGGGGGAAAAATAGCTAAGCCAATGTCCAAGGTAATTTGCAACTCCTGTGATTTTTTTTCTAGGGAATATGGCAAAACATAGTGATGATTCGTGACAGGTGACAAGAGTGATGATCTTGTCATAAGCAAGACTGGCAACTCTAGAGATCTGTGTAATTACCAAGTGTGTGCCAGCCTCTGAACCACTGAGGAAACTGATGAGATGGGCCCAACTGATGATATGATACAGAAACAGATATGTAGCCAGACAAAGAATCGAAAACTGTGTGTGTGTGATGGAAAAGCTGAATCACACCAGGTAACACTGCCAACTCCCTGAGTTGTGCCTCACTGTGGCCAGAATTGAGTTTTTTAACAGGGTTCTCTGGAGCCCTTGAGCCCATGTTAATGGTGAACATGTAAAGCCCTTTAAGTCTTTCGAAATTACAGTATACCTCTCCTGAAACCTATTCGACATTATCCTTCCCCTAAGACTGAGCCCTCCTGTGTACCCAGTGGGGGCTCCAGGATGGATCCCACCAATTGTTTCCCTTCTTTCCACTCTTTCCTTAATTACCTTTTCTCATACCTTATAATCAACAAATGCATTTTTTTTCCTTTTTAAAGCATTTAGCTTCTGTGGTAGTTTAAATGTAATTCCCTCCCCCCCAGAAGCTAATAGCGAATGGCACTATTAGGAGCTGTCTACTTGTTGGAGTAGGTATGACCTCGTTGGAGAAAGTGTGTCACTGTGGGGATGGGCTTTGAAGTCTCCTACAATCAAGCTATGCCCAGTGTGGACACAGGCTCCTTCTACAGTCTGGGGATCAAGACATAGAACTCTCAGTTCTTTCTCCAGCATCATGTCTGCCTGCAATCCACCATGTCCCACCATGATAACAATGGATTGTCTCAGGGTTTATATTGCTGTGAAGAGACAGCAGGACCACGACAACATTTAACTGAGGAGACCCACTTACAGTTCAGGGCTTCAGTCCATTATCATCATGGTAAAACACACAGCATTCAGGCAGACATGGTGCTGGAGAAGTAACAGAGTCTTATACATCTTTCAGACTATAGGAAGTGGTCTGAGTGTCACACAGAGCATGAGCATAGGAGACCTCAAAGCCCACCCCCACAATGACACAATTTCTCCAATAAGGCCACACATACTTGAATAAAACCACACCTCCTAATACTGCTGCTTGCTTTGGGGACCATTGTCTTTCAAACCTCTGAAACTATAAGCCATCCCAATTAAATGTTTTCCCTGAATGGAGGCCAAGAGAGGCCATTGTATAAAGTTGTGAAGGAGAATCCTGGATTGCCTTAGAGACCCCAGGATGTTGTAGATGCCCTGGGATACCGCTGAGTAAAACTGCTAATAGGAAGTGAAACCAGCCCAAGAGAAAGATGTATGTTGCAGTCAACAAAGTTGAAAGTAGATCAGAAGAGGATTTTGACATCAGACATTAAGATACAGTGTGAAGTTTGCCCACCTGGTCTCCAGTCTTGCTTTTATTTCCTCACTCTGCTCCCTTCTCTAAGTCTTGGAATGGTAATGTATATCCTGTTACAGTATATGTTAGAAGTATATGATGATTTTTGATTTTGATTTTGTAGAGGATTACAGTTAAGAGGTTTCATCAATCTCAGAAGAGATATTTAACTTTGGACTTTTAAACATTTTTCAGACTGTGATAGACTATGGGGACTTTTGAAGATGGACTAAATGCATTTTGCATTATCATATTGTTATAACCTATGGGGCCAGGGAGTAGAACGTGGTAGTTTTGAATGAAGTTGGCCTCCAGAAGCTCATAGCACTGTTAGGAGCTGCGGTCTTGATGGAACAGGTATGGCTTTGTTGGTGGAGGTGTGTCACTGTAGGAGTAGGCTTTGAGATCTCCTATGCTCAAGCTATATCCAATGTGAACAGACTCCTTTTGCTGCTTGAGGATAAAGATGTAGAACTCTCAGCTTGGCTTATTGTAGGGGTAGAGGGGTCTGAACTCAGGTCCATTTCCCTTAGCTCCATTTTCTATTATGTTGGTAAGATGTAGAGAAATAAAAATGAAAACAAAACACAGCCAGGTTACACCAAGAAGTAACTTTATCCAAAGGGAATTTATACAGAAGATATATTTGACATGAATTCATGTATTGCTAAGTTATGCACAGACTGTGCCATCCACAGCAATACAACTGCTCATGATTTTCACCCAGCTGCTAACTTACCTTACATTACTACCTTCATGAAAAACAACAGACTAGAGAGTATTTTTGAAGATGGCTTTCTAGGAAATGTATGAATGGGGCAAAGCATGTCAAAATGCACTCAAAGCAGCAATGAGGCTTTGGAAAAGCTGATCAAGCACTGTCTAAAGGGGAGATTTGTAAATTCCTCAAAAAGACTTAAAAGTTTAAAAGGCCTTAAAAAAAAAATCAATCATAAACAGAAGATGAGTAAAGTAGGCCAGTGGGATTACTTTCTGAATAAATGCATGTGAGAAAACATGTCTATCATAGCATGACCATGTACATATGTGGTTACAGAGAAATGAAAGTCAATTTGGTGATTCTCATTTTAGATTGCCATTTTAAGAAAGAATGAATGACATTTGTTCTAATAGTGGCACAACAAGGAAAATAAATATTTGAATACAAAATGATATAAAATAGCCTGGAATGAAGTTGAATGCTGAAACTAAGAGTTCTATAAAATGACAATTTAGAAGTTGTAAATGCTCTTATTTCAAACTGCAAGTAACGTATGGATTAATCTTCCAGAGTCACAGCTCATAAATAACATATCTATAAAAACCTGATTAAGTTGTGTCATTTAAAGAAAGACTATTTTAAAGGAAATAACTCTGGTAAACCAGAATATAAAACTGTTGTTAAAAGACCAAATGGCAGGAGACGGCTGCCAGAGGCCTGATGAAAACACGAAGGGCCTGAAGTTCCCAGTACCCTCGGTGACTGAGCAAGGCCAGTGAGCCCTGCTTCAGAGCCAGAGAAGCCCCTTTGCTGCCCCTTAACCTACAAGGAGTATCTGTAAGCCATTTCTGTGCTGGCTCCCTCTGCATGCCAAAGAAAAGTTCTGAAAACCACTGTGACATCTTCCCAAGCACAGAGAACTGAGACATGGGAAAAAAAATAATGGTTTCAAAGAGGAAAATGAAAAAAAATCTGTATTGGCGTCCTCTATTGATAACTAACTGTTACCAATGAGTCATGCTATGGAACCCAGATTCTTGAGCTGTGAACCATGGCCCCATAAGCAGTCATGTAACTGACTGAAAAACATGACACCAATAAAAGGTTTCTATGTCTAATGCACAATGGCAGTAATGAATTCAAAACTAACTGTGTAATGAATCTTAAGTGTTTCTGGTGGGGCTTACCCATATTATATCACTCAACTTCACTACAGCCTTGGTTCTGAGGACACACAGAGTGCAATCCACACTACATAGCCACCATGCCATGCAACACCAATAAACACTGCCTAAATATCTCAGCTCAACTCAGGCTACTTTATGTAGTATGAATTACTTACTACACTGACTAGCTTTTTTCTGAGAAGCCTACAGAGAACACACAAGCAGCAACAGAGGGACTCAGTAACACTGACAGGAATGCTGACTGGTGCTGGGCATCCACTTTAGAATATGTGACAAATACAAAATTCTAAACGTTAAATTATTAGTGATGATTGGCCACTGCACAGACAGGCAAAGTATTTGACATCTAGAGTTTCAGGCAGATGTTACAGAACCTATTCCAAAAATATGGTGGTCAAGAAGCAGCATGTTTCCTATTCTTCAAAGCAAGCATATTAAATCCACACTATCTAAATGTAGCAGTTAGAAAAGGGTATTGCTTCTGTGTACTGTTTTTCTTTTTAAATGTACTTTCAGATTTTATGCTTAACACAATACATTCTGGACTTAGGAAAAAGTACATTCTTGAAATGAAAATGGAATTTTGATTAATAAATAATTCATGTTTAAAGAAAACAAAAATATCATTTTTAAAGCCAAAAATACTTAAAAAAAAAAAAAGCTATACAAATCAATTCACAGGACCATAGCAAGAAAAGAATAAAAATGACCTCTCCTAATTATGATAGAAGAAATGGATTCTCATTTATTTTTCTTTGTTGTTTTGAAATGCACTCTAACTGTATAGCTGGCTGGCCTGGAACTCTCTATGTAGGCAGGTTGGCTTCTGATAGTCCTCTTGCCTGTCTCCCAAGCACTGGGATGATGTGCTACCATGCCTAGCCAACAATTATGAATTTTCATCTTATATGTTTGTCCCTTACAACTTTAATGGACAAAGCCATCCCAGTCACTTAGTCAGCTTATAATGACCTAGTTATGTAGGGATGACCTATCATTTGTACTTCCACAGAAGCTCAGGTGTCTTGTTTACTCAGTGAAAGAAAAGCCAAATCTGACCATGCTGTGTGAAAATAGCTTACAGTGAAGAGATTTCAAAAGGCAAAGCTGTCTTGTCTACAAAAATCATTCTACTAGTTGATTGTACAGTTTTAAAACTGAGCAAGCCCCTTTTTTTTCTTGAAGATCCATGTGAAAACAGTTTTGTATAATGCATCATTGAAACATAAAAAGGGACAAATATAGAGTTACAGGTACAAATTCAGTACTACTTGCCTTAAGGAGCCCTCTCAGTCATAAATACAGAACTTGACTTACAAAATATTTACTATAAACAGTTTAGTAACCTGCAAACCACATTATCCTATAATTACTCATTCACTCTGACAACATTTAAAAATGGAATTTTCATTATAGAAAGTAGACAACAAACCAACACTTTCCCACTTTTCCCACATTAATTCAATTCCAAATAGCACTCTTAAAATTTCTATAAATCACTAACAATCACTCAATTTATTGATCAGAGATGGACTTGCTATTGTCCTCTCTTCAAAAAGTATAAAATGTATGCTTTAAACAGATAAAACACATATAAAAATTTGGGTTTATATGAGGAACACTAGAAGTGAAAAGCATATAAGTAGATATATCATTCTGCATAAGAGATGGCATTGCTTCACACAGCTTATGAATCCTGGAGTTTTCCTGGCTCCTTCTATTTCGCAGCTGGGTTTTTGGGAGGAAGGAGTTTGTATGTGTTGAAGTAGCCCACCACCTGCTGGGGAATCTCTGCCAAGACACACTGAGCAAGTGCTTCTTTTGGAGCCTTGAGGAAAAACAAAAGCACAGTTATTACCAACTAAAGATTTGCTCGCTTGCTTATTTGTTTGTCTCTTGTAGCTCAAGTTGGCCTTGAACTCAATATGCAGTCAAGTAAGACCCCGAACTCTCCATCCTCCTGACTCTACCTACCAAGTGCTAGAAGTGCAGGAATACACAACCACATTTGGCTGATATACTGGCTGCTTGATAAAAGGCTAGAGATAACTCAGCAGTCATTAAGATGTAGTAATTCCCAACCTCTGGGCTTGTACCTTAGGAACAGTATATAATATGGGGAAAGTAACAGGTATTATTTATAATTATCATCATTATCATTGCTTATGTGTCAAGTTCTTTGATACTGGCCGCAGTCCATATAATATGGGAAAAGTAACCAGTATTTTTATAATTACCATCACTATCATTGCTTATGTGTCAAGTTCTTTGATGCTGACCGTTTCAATATTAGATAATTCTGCTGATATTATGGCTCTTATTTTTTGAGGTCTCACTATGTAGCCATGTCTGGCTTGAAAATCACAATGTAGATCAAGCTGGCCTTCAACTTACAGAGATCTGCCAGCCTCTGCCTCCCAGGTGACCTTGATATCTTTTTTGTCTCTGTTTGCTGAGTGCTGAGACTACGGGTGTGTGCTAACATGTATGGCCTATTTTTTTTTTTTAATGTATCTGTAACTTTTCCTCTTTCTAAAAGTCATGTTAAAAGACTTCTACTTGTGCCTAAAGACGTTAGTCATACAAAGGATGTATTAGTTATTCTTATGACCTCTAAATGCAATTCCCATTTTAATTACCTACAAGCTCTAGAATACTAAAAATAATTTAAAAAGGAGTTTTGGGTATCAGTCACTATTTTGAAAAGCACATGTCTAATGCTATATGAAATACAGTCTTTGATTATAGGAGTGACATAAGTTTAAACAAAATTGATTCCCAAGTAACACCCATGTTAAGCCTTCATATCAGCTTTTGTAAAGGCACTAGATATTGTTTTTAGAGTTTGTTCATAAGTATCCTATGCTATGGATGTACCATAGTTTTCTTCCTCATTTACCCGCTGAAGAATATCAGGGTTGTTTCCAGCTTTTATCTGGTTATGCATAAAGCTACTAAATGCATAAATCATTCACATATGGGTTTTTATTTTTGTTTTTATATATGTGGATATAACATTATACTTCATATAGCATTATACTTTAAGTCCTCCCATGTTCCTCTCAAAATGGTCAGCCTGGTCTACACTGAGAATTCCTGATCAACATGGAGACTGTCTCAAGAATTTAAAAAGCAAACTAAACTAAAGAGAAATGCACACAACAACTTGGGTTACTCTAAAAAGTATCAAGCTAGAAGAAAAAAGCCAGTCTTATAGCTCATATACAGTATGACTCCATTTATGTAAAATATTTTTCTGTTTAGTTGTTTATTTTCTGAAATAGCATCTCTCCAAGTAGCCCAGTCCAGCCTCAAATTCATACTTGCTGCCTCCCATGTGTTGTTACTACAGGCATGTACCACCATACCCAAATATTTACGTAAATTCCTGAAATGATGAAATGATAGAAATGAATAGTTTAGTGGTTTACATGGGCTAAGGAAACGCAGGTGTAGATGGGAAGTAAATACATCATTGAAGACACAACATAAGGGCTCCCTGTGGTGTTGAATCATTAATTAGATCAATATACATATCCTGGCTGTGACCCTGTAAAATATTCCACAAGGTATTAACATTGGATCAAGCTATACACAATATCGTCTAAAAGATTTTTATCTGATTTTGTTTGGTTTTTTTTGTTTGTTTGTTTGTTTGTTTTGTTTTGTTTTGACATGTTTCACCCTGTGGGACTCTAGGTAGCTTAGAACTCACTACACAGTCTAGGCTGGTCTTAGAGTGAGGAAATTAAAGATGTAGTAACATACCCTGCTTCTAAAAGCTTTTGATCATGCAAGCATATTCTCCTAGAGGTTTGGCTAGTGTTTTGTTTTCCTGTTTTTACAAAGTGTGGCTTATCTTGATTGTCCATTCAATATCATACAGAATCACCTGGAACATAAACTTCTTGGCTTACCTCTGTTTCCAAATAAGTTTAACTAGAGTGGATGAGTAGACTTACCCTGAGTATGGGTGGCACTATTCCAGGAGTTGGAGTCCTGGACTAAGTAAAAAGTTGAAACTGAGCTGAGCATCTGAGCTGGCTGGTTTTTACGTTAACTTCACATAAGCAGAGTGATCTGAGAGAGGGGTGCTCAATGAAGGAAATGCTTCTGTAAGATCAACTATAGAAAGCCTATAGAACTCATTCATTTTTTTCTTTCTCCCTCTGCCCACCCCTTTGTTTTGTTTTGTTTTTGTTTTTCAAGACAGGGTTTCTCTGTGTAACCCTGGCTGTCCTGGAACTCACTCTGTAGACCAGGCTGGTCTTGAACTCACAGAGATCTGCCTGCCTCTGCCTCCCTAGTGCAAGGATTAAAGGCATGTGTTACCAAAAACCACCATGGAACATTTCCTTAATTAGTTATTGATATTGGAGGGTCCAGCCCACTGTAGGTGGTGCTGCCCCTAAATTGGTAGTCCTGGCTCTATAAGAAAGCAAGCTGAGCAAGCCATAAGAAGCAAGCCAATAACCAATATTCCTGTGGCTTCTGCTTCAGGTCCTGCCTCCAGGTCCTCCCTGTATGATGAACTGTGATATGAAAGTGTAAGCAAAATAACATTTCTTACACTTGTTACTATAGGTCATAGTTCTTATCACAGCAATAAAACTCCTAACTAACACAAGCACCCAAATTCACCCTCTCTGCTTGACTGTGGATGTACTGTGACTAGTTGCCTCAGACTCTTTCTGTCATGCCTTTCCTACCATAACGGACTAAAGGCCAAAGGAAAGTTTCCTTCCCCAGGTTGCCTTTGCCAGTAATTTCACAACCATGAGGAAAGTAATTAATATAAAAGTAACAAAAAGTCTTAACATATTCATAACAATATCATTTTAAGTTTATCATACTATTATAGCAAAAGCACAAATGATACAAGTATCCCAATCAAGTCAAACCTCTAACACGCAAAAGCATACTGAAGGTCTGGGTTTAGTCAAAAGGAATGGTACTCACATTCTGGAACTGTCTGAAAGGCACGAACTGAACAATATCTCTTATGGCCACCTCTCCTGATGGGGAGCGGAGACTTCCCCCATCACCATCCAGAAACTCCATGGCACTGAAGTCAGCTCCCCCAACTCCCACAATGATGATAGACATGGGCAGCTTGGAAGCGTTGACGATAGCATGTCTGGTTTCATCAAGGTCTGTGATGACACCATCAGTGATGATCAAGAGCACAAAGTATTGCTGCCAAAAAAGAAAACAAGTCTACTGAGCAGGTGAAGGTCAAACAGCAAAAGAGTGATCGAGGTTACTGAGCCACCTGTTTCACTCATTTTCATTGTCAGCCTGTATCTAGGAAACCATCTGCTTAAAATACTCTGTAATTCTCTGGTGACAAGGAGATTCATTAGAAGTGCAACACACCACCAGATAGGTTGAAAAATACACAGAAGACATCTAAATGTCTTTCAAGTAAGCAGAGAAATAAACATTCATTAAACTGAAGCACTAAACATGTCAACGACTGAAGCAAGGGAGCAAATGAGAACTCCATTACCAGCAGATCCAAAACTTTCAAAAAAGGATTATCTACCTGGCTAAAATACATGCTTAAAAAAAAAAAGTCTTTTCCAAAGTAGGGAAATGTCACATAAAGTTGTGATTTCATTTTTTGGGCCAGTTAAATCTAGGACAGAAATAATATTTACGACAATAACTAATAAGTATGGGAGTGTTTTCTCTGACCCAGGCTCTGTGAACTTTACATGAATTATCTTGTTTGACTTTTTCAACACCTACACAATGGGGCTTCCCATGATCCCTGTCCCTACTTTTAAGTACATTACAGCTTGAGAGATTTGGTACCCTATGAATGTTAATGGTTAGATAATTCAAACTTCTGTAATATAGTAAGTGCGGCAAAATCAGCAACTGATAAAAGTATTCAAAGGCCTTCATGTGAAGTATGTTTCTACAAGTAATAGCCCTCCCTGCCTTTGGTAGACTCTAAGCAAATTACTTCCAAAGCCAGAGAAAAAACTCATAAAAGCAAGCATTATTTTGTTTTAGTGATCATTAACAGCAACAGACATCTCTCCCAAACTAATGCTAATTATACCATCACTTTTTTTTCTTGACTTGGTATCCTGACAAACTCAATAAACAGCATGACAAGCAGGAAGAAGTACCAACCACACCCTTCCTGCTCCTGAACCTAGAGCACTTACAGATGCTGTCTGCTGCTGTGTGGCTGCAGCTGCAAACCTGGCCACGTGATTTATAATTGGAGAAAAATTAGTTGGTCCATAGAGTTTTATTTGAGGAAGACAGGTCCGATAAGCCTCTATAATGCCTTGGATTCCTAGATCAAAGAAAGTAGTATTAAAAATCCTCAAATATAATTTGTTAATCCACAGTATGGGAAGCACACTTATATACATATAAGGTCTGGTAAATGATGGACATTATCCCAGCTCTTGGGAAGTGGAAGTATCAAAATCAGGGTGACTATATATATTGAGTCCCTTATCACAATTACAAAACAAATGAAACAACAAAAAGTCAAAAAGTGCTTCGACTAGGGAAGAGTTCCACATTCAAGAGTTCTTCGTGGTTATATTTCATTATAAATAGCTATAAACTTTATCTCCAAGCAGAAAGCATTTTCATTTCAAATGGGACTTATGCTTAACGTTGATGTGTTTTTGTTGAAAAATGTGTAACATCTTACAACTGTTAAGCAGAAATAAAAAAATCACCAAGATGAACTCCTTTGCACACATGATCAAAGTTCTATAGAAATATACTTATAAGGCTGATTAACTCTAGTTAATTAGGTGACACTTGGTATAATAGGCAGCATTAGTTTTATTAGCATAGGTTTGCATTTTGCTATAGAAACTAAACAGTTGAGTCTGCCAGTCTTATGAAAAACAAGTTGAACAAGGCTATACATGACTAAATGTATGTAAGTGGGCAGGACCCCAGTGTCTACTCAGATGTTTTAAGAAACATTGTCTACTTGCTCTAGCTCTTGTACTCTTTTCCTGGGTCACAGGAACAGCAGGTGAAGAGCTGGTCCTTCAGGCTGAGTCCCAGACTAAGTAACTTGGGAGATGTGGGTGAGGTAATACATTTATTTTCCCAGCACTCAGGAAACTGAGGTGGGAAGATGACAAGTTTATAGCCTGAACTACATAGCAAGACTCTATCTTATAAAAACAAACTAAAAAACAAACAAACAAAAAAAAAAACATGGAAAACAGTTGTGATCTAGCTACAAGTCAAATGAGTAAGGAACAGATGTGCCATTGTAAGTCACCAAGGCACAGATATTTCTGTTAAAACAGCATGGCCTGGTAAGCTGGATAGTATGCCAGTGAAAATGCAGTCTACAAACGAGTATCCTAGGTATGCACGTGTTAATTCTGTCCTCAATGCTGCTACAAATCTTAAAAGAATTCCCTGCACTGCTTTGAAACCACAGAAACTTGTCTGCAGTTTATCTTAAAGAAAGTTTTATTTTCTTACTTTAGGGCATTTTACATTTTTATTCGCTTGTGTGTAGGGTAAATGTGTGTGGTGTATGTGTATGGTACACACAACTGAATGTGCAGGTATGTATGCTTGTGCATGCCACACAGAACAAGGTGTCAGGTTTCCTCCTCCACTGCTCTCCGTCTTTTGCCTTAAAACAGGGTATTATATGAACCATTTTGGTTAGGCTGGATAGCCAGTAAACTCTCAAGATCTACCTATCTGTCTGCCCCTGAACATGGGTCTCAGTTAGAAGGCCTGGGCAGTCTAAGGGACCTCTGACAATGGAACCAGGATGTATCGCTGGTGCACAAAAGAACTTTGGGAGCACATTCCCCATGGAGGAATACTCCCTTAGCCTAGAGGCGGGGGGGGGGGGGGGGGGGGGCCTAGACCCTACTCCAAATGACTTGACAGATTTTGATGATCCCTCCTGGAAGACATCACCCTCCCTGTGGAGTGTGTGTGTGTGTGTGTGTGTATGTGTGTGTGTGTGTGTGTGTTGGGGGGGAGGGTAAGAGGGTGGTGGGGGGACATGGGAGGGGAGGGAGGGAACTGGGATTGATAATGTAAAATAAGAACAACAACAACAAAAAAGATCTATCTGTCTGTGCCCTCCAATGGGGTTATAGTAATGTGTTTTTTGAATGGGTGGCTGGGATTTGAACCCAGATAGGTCCTCATAACTGTACAGAAAGTGTTCTTATTCACTGACTTATCTCCTCATACCTGTAGACCTTTTCAACCCAAACAGGTCTCTTACTTTAGATCAAGGACAAGAATGAAACCAATTCTCTTCAAATTTAGGACTTCCAAAAAACTCTTTTTGGTCATACTGAACTTAGAAACAAGTACACTTGAGCAACTTATGAGAACAACTCATGCATAGATGTGATTTTACATGTATAAACTGATAGTGTAAATAGGAGTTAGTCTAGCAATAACAACAATATTAACCATAGCTAGTAACATCAGGAACTGCAATGGAATACACTGTAGAAAAATAGCATATAATTTCAGCAACAGTAGTTGTGGTGGTTTGAAAAATAATGGCCCCATAGACTCACAGATTTAAATGCTTGGTCACAAGCGAGTGGCTCTATCTGAAAGATTAGGAGTGTGGCCTTGTGGGAGGAAGTCCATTACTGGGGTGGGCTTTGAGGGTTCAGAAGCCCATGCCCAACCCAAAGTCTCTCTTTCCTCTCTGCCTGTGGATCCAGATGTAGAGCTCTCAGCTACCATGCATGCCACCATGTTCCCCATAATGGACTACATTCTGAAACTCTGCAAGCCCCAATTAAATGCTTTCTTTTGTAAGAGATGCCATGGTCACAGTGTCTCTTCACAGTAATAGAACATGCATAAAGACAGAAGTATTTTCCCCATTTGTATTATTATGCTTGCTTTGTACCCTGAAGTTTTTAACAATTTACTCTCTTTACAAGTATAAAGTCTTCAACTACTCACCTAAAACTGCACTATACTGAAATCCTCCCTTGCATTAAAGCAGTAAGTGAAATGTTATTCCTAGGCAACTAGGTTCAAGGATGTCTTTAAAAAAAAGAAAAAAAAAAAAAACCAAAACCAAAAACAGAATTTAACTTTGGTGTCTTAAAATAAGGCCCTACTTTTTCTATATAGCATATCTTTGATCTACAACCAAATTGGTTGTTTTTCCAGACTATAAACCTAAATTGAAAAGGCTATTTGCTTGATGAGCAGACCAAGAATGGGTTCACACTACTTGTAGAGCAATAAACTTATAAAATGAGTCATCTATATTCCAAAAATAATTCTAATTTCAGGTAAGCACCAAGAACATTTCTTACTTTATTTTTGATAATAAATGGTTTTATAAACTTTACCATTAAAAACTTAAGATAAAATCAGAAACCAAGATGAAAATATTAACAAAAACACATCTTTAAAATAAACTCAATTACAAATATCTGGACATAAAATAGGTCACGATCATGCACTAAAAGTGCCTCAAAGGAGTACTAAATTAACTAGCACAGAAAAGGCATTTTAAAATGGAGAAAATGTTTAAGAAAACAGCCCTCAAAAGTGGTCCTATGCCCTTCCAATTTGTGATTATTTACAAAGAGAAGGAAAGAATACCTTTGTCTCTAGAAACCATGCACTTTGTAGATGCTAAAAGGGACCCTCTGAGGAGTATCAATTTAGAGCCTAGAATTTTAAGTACTATCCCCTACCCAACAACTACCTTTCCTGCCCAAAAACATTCAGTCTTACATAATTTAGTAGGAGTCTTGGCATTCCAGGTTGGAATCTGACTTTTCAAAAAACTATTTTTAAAGAAGAAGCACTTGTGCATTTGAAGTATAAAGTAAAAAGTGAAATCAAAGACAAGCACCAGCTTCCTGCTGTCTATAGAGATGTGTTAGAAGTTCAGCTTTGTTCCTGTCACCATCCTATCTACTGAGTGAATACTGTGCAAGCAACAAGCACTGTGACAACTGACACTTTTCACTTGCTTCTATGAAAGTTCTCTCCAGTCTTCAATACTGAACTCATTTATGGAGTTGATTTCAGTTCACATGTGACAATACCTTTACTTTTATGATGACTTTTATGACCTACTCTTTATCATCATGATACTGATTTGCCTCATAATTATCTTTACCATTGTAGTCACCCACCTGGGGCAATTTTTCTACTATACACAACAGAAAGTTAAAATTTGTCACAACCTGAAAGTTAGAAACATAATGAGTAGCTCTGACCTGAAAGAGACAGGAATGAGTGATGCTGTCTTCATGTCTGGCTTTTTGGCTTCACTTACCATTGCAGTAGGGATTAGATGGGTTAAAGTTCATTGGAAATTCATGAGACACCTGTCAAAAGAAAAAAGAAAAAAAAAAAAAAAAAAAAAAAAAGGCTGGTGAGGCCTCTGTTCTTTTAGTCAAGAATAAAACTTTGAAAGGGGATTTCCTGGCAGTTCAACCTTTTCCAGGCCAGAGTGGGTGGAAGACACAGATGGCTCCACCCCTAGACTTCTTGGTCTGGAGGAGCAAACCCACCAGGAGCCTGCCTAATGCCTGTGGCACCAGGCATGCAAGAGGCAAGAGGCAACATCTCTACACCATGTCTCACAGCTGGGGGAGGTAGGACTCAACCATGCGCCACCTATACCTAACCAACAGCTGCGGCACCAGGCGGTCGGGCACCATTATGGTATAGGGTGGGGAAATGGGGGGAGGCGATTCATGGGCTGGGGAGAGAGAGAGAGGCAGATCTGAACGGATGACAGTAGTGAGGAACAGGCTAATGTGAATGGCCTGCTAACCACCAGAGTCCAAGGTGGCATCTGGGCCTGGGCTATACCCAAGTGCCAGGTCTTTGTCTGAGGCCCTGAAGCAGTCAAGGGGTCCTGAGTTCATGAACATCAACACAGACCTCAGCTAAGCCAGGGCCATGGACCCAGATTTGGACCCAGATGACTCCAATTGTCTTGGCCCTGGCAGTGACACAGCCCTCAGACACCAATGTGGTCACAAGTTTTGACCCAGACCCTGGGCATCCACACAGCCTCCCCCCAACTCCTTGGGCAAGGGACATCAACTCAGAACCCAGATGTGGACCCAGACATGGTTCTTTGGCAGCAGCCTTGGCCAGTATATCACTATGGCCCCAGGAATTATCTAAGGCCACCCAGATTTGCATGGCCCCTAGACACCAACATGGCTCCAGGTGGTAGTGCAGACTGAAGGACTCCATACAGCCCTCAGAGACAACAGGAGCCACAGACATGAACCCCCATTGAAGGCCATGCTGATGCCAGTGACCTGAGCTGCCACCTGGAGCCATGCTGGTGTCCAAGGGTCACACCATCATGGGGGCCAGGCTGATCAAGTGATCTGGGCTGCTGCCTAGGACTATGTCTAGGTCAGTGTCCAATCACAGTCAGGGTCTGTGGCTCATGTTGCCACCAAAGACCATATGGATGCTCAGGATCTGAGCTACAATCTGTGGCCATGAGGGTGTCTGAGGGCCATGGTGTCATGCAGGTCAGGATTGTCAATGAGGGTTCTGTCTGGGTCTGAGTTGATATCTGTGGCACCTGTTACCACCACGGGCCATGCAGATGACTAGGGTCTGGTAAGCCACCTGAGAATATGGAGGCATCCAGGCCCTGGCCACTGCCTATGGCCACATCTTGGCCTGTGTCCTTGCAGCAGCTGGGATCTGGGATGATTCTAGGGTGATGTCTGGGCTTTCTGTTACCACTGAGGGCTCTGCAGAAGCCCAGGGTCTATTTAGCTATTTGAGACCATGTTGGTGCTCAGCTGCTATTCAGTCACTGGGACCATACTGATCCCTATGGCCTATGCTGCCACTAGGGTAATGGTGACTTCTGGGCTTGAGCTGCTGCCAAGGGCCATGTCTGAGTCTATGGTCATAGAGCAGCTGGGGTGTCAGTAATATCCTTGGCCTGTGTTAGCTGGGGGCAGGAGGAGAGGGTGGTCATTAGAACCATGTTGTACTGAGCCAGCCCTACCCTACTGGCCCTGCCCCTTGCAAGATACTACAGCAGGAGATCTGGCCCCACCCCTCAGGGGACAGCTGCCCTCCCCACCATCATTGTCCCACCCCCACCCCCAGGCATGCACCTCACATGGGCAAAACATTAGTGCTGACCCTTTTGTCAGGGACACAGGTGAGCCAGTTTGAGGGCAGACTGCCTCAACCTTGTCTACCACAAACTGGCATGGGTGAAGGAAAGACGCCCTTCCCACTTGCTACCTGTGGTGATGAGAGAGCTGGCTCTCACTAGAGTGAGAGAACTACTAGCCTTGCTCCTCACCAGCTGGAACACATAGGAGAGCAGGCTCTGCACTGCACCTGGACAGCACACCAGAGCAGATCCTGTTGTCAGTGCACAGGTGAGTCAGCCCTGAAGGCATGAGAGCAGGGGCGCTGACACCCACCCCCCACCCCCCCACCTATAGCAATCAGGAGACAGGGCTCCTGCACCTTGCCCGGGCAAAACAGTAGAGCTGGCCCTGGTAGTGTTAAGTGTGGGTTACTTGGACCCGGATCTGAGAACCAAAGAACAGCAGAATTAGCCCCATTCTTTGCAGTAGGCTGCACTGGGTTGTTTGTTTTGGTTTTTCTTTTAAATTTGGTTTTGTTCTGGGGTGGGGGGGGGGGAGGTTTCCAGGACAGATTCGAAGGGACAGGAGATAAGTGGGACTGGAATGCATGATGTGAAATCCACAAAGAATCAATAAAAGTAAAAGAAAAAAAAAAAAATTACCTGCCACTGAGGAGGCACCTGAGCTCCAAAGCCGAAAGCTGGAAACATCTTGTCACTAAAATAGAAAAAAGAAAAATCAAACAATTTTTGCTATAAAAATGAAATAATATGCACTTTTATATTTTAAAAAAATCCAAAGCCATAAAAAAATTATAAACAAAAAATTACCTAGCACTCCCAATACTAATACCAATGCTAACAGTGGAAAATACTCATTTTAAACGTTTTCTGTGCGTTAAAGGAAGAATGTCTCTATAGTAGTGTGTGTGGTGTGCATGAGTGATATTTACCTGAGTGTGTGCACCCATGTATAGCCACATGGAAGCCATAGGAGGATGTACACAGTGCTCCTCTATCACTCTCCACCTTAATGCCTTGAGAGAAACATAAATGCTAAGGGCCTGGGTTTATTTTGCAGCAGCTACTTGTTGGCTAGCAACCATCTGCAAGTACAGTTCAGGGGATCCAACACTTCTTCTGACATCCACAGGCTCCTACACACGTGGTATACACATACATTCATTCACGCACAAATACACATGTTAAATAAATAAATGTGTCTCATAACCTACTAGTTGCCATTTAAACCTTGTGCATTATTTCCCAGAACAAATATGAACGAGCCAAAAACAAAAAAGGAAACAAAACAAACAAACAAAAAAAAACCCACTTTTTTTTTAAAGTAAGGCTTTGGCAGAAAAAACAAGACTCAATGAGGTTATTTATAGCATTTACTTATATGTCAGTTGATATGAGTATTCATACATTTGACCATAGAATCACTGTACAAAATGTCATCTATTATAAAACTCAATTTTATGCAAGAAAACATGTGTCTAAAACATACATTATGTCTGGAGCCTGCGAACACACAGAGTATAAACCTGAATATATAACGTGAATATATGTATGTATGTATACATACATACATACATATATCAAGTACTGACTTGTCCAGGATACGGGAATTCCCCCAGAGGCATAATGATGCCTTACCTTACCTTACCTTAAAACACCACCTAACTGGGATAGTCTGTGTGTTCACTCGTATTTATTTACTATATTTATTTATTTATTTGTTTGCCTATTCGTTCATTCATTCATTTGTTTATTTATGTGTGTAGAGAGATGTGCTTGCTACAGCATATATGTGGATAACAGTGAACAACTCAGATTGTCGGGGCACCTTCACCTGCACAACTACCTCACTCATCCTGTATTTTTAGTTCTTAACATCTGGGATTTATTTTCTATTAAAGATAGAACCCATGTCATGTCAAAAATAGTTTTCCTAGACTGTAGCCTGTCTACTGTTGTTTAGAAACTTTCATTGACTTTCTCTTTAAGTTCTTTTATTAATGAGTCTATGAACGCCCAAAGGAGACACCAGTTTCCTCTTTACCATTTCCATCTTCCAACACTGATTACAAGCACACACAGCCATGTTGTTTTCATATGGGTGCTGGGGATCTAACTCAGCTTCTCCTGCTTGCACAGAAAGCATTCTTACCACTGAGCCATCTCCTCACCCCCTTTTCATATGTTTTAGTACTAAGGAATGTGAACATATACATGTTACTCCAAGATTTATGCCTGTGTTGTCGTACCAGCCATGCACACTGCAGATTATGAGCCAATCATATATTCTTTTCTTCTAAAACTTTCCACGCTTACTTTTGGTATTAAACTTCTCATTCCTCTGAAAAGTGCATTGAAGTAGGATATGAAGCAGGAATAGCAGCTTCCCACCAACAGCACTCCCTCCTTTAATAACAGACACTTAAGGCGGTGACTAGTCTTATCCTAGGAGCCAGCTGAGATCGGTGGCTAGGTTCTAGCCCAGGGAGTAGAAGGATTTTTTTTTTTTTTTTTCAGCAGCATCAAATCCTGGCCCTAGAATACACATGCAGTCCTGGACCACTTACTCTGTTTCCTACTGTCTAAACAAGAGCTCTAGTCACCACGAATGGAAGCTATAAATTGAGTTTGGTAAAAACAGTCCTGAACTTACTGCTATTTTGTTAGGCTGTTTTGTTGAGTATCTACTTCAGGTTTACAATATGTGTGGGTTATCATACTTTGCAGGTATGAACTGTGGATTCAAATTAATTATGCAGCTCTCTAGCTATCCTGCAACTTACTCCACCTGCCTCTGACTCTGCCTCCACAGTGCTGGGAATGAAAGTGTGCACCTAAGTCTGGCTTTAAATTCCACTCTTATGCAATGTGTTGCTGTTATAATCCTTTCCTCTTAGATGCTATTCTCACTAAATTCACATATAGGTCTATTAGTTACCTATATGCTTGGTTCACTTGGTCCACGATAGCTCTACATATCATATAATAAAATTTAAAAGCTGCTAGAGCAGGACTAAGAGATACTCAGAGATTAAAAGCACTTAGTGCTCTTGCAGAGGGCCTAGGCTTGGTCCCCAGTACCTATATGGGGTAGCTCACAAACTTCATATCACCCTTTTCTGACTTCCACATGCACCAGACACACACACACACACACACACACACACACACACACACACACACAAACACACACGGTGCTAAAGGAAATTCTTCTTACCTTTCTCCCTCCCTCCCTTTGTTCCTTAAAAAAAAAAAAAAAAAAAAAAAAAAAATGTTTGATGATTGTGGCTCCTTCCTTCTATCTAGAGAATTTTAACACTCATTTTGGCTCTCTTTCTCTTCCGGTCCCAGGCACTTCGGGAGCAGGCAAGTCCAAGAACCACACCATACACAACCAGTCCCAGAAATGGCACAGAAAGGGCATCAATAAACCCTGATTGCAAAGATACGAATCTCTTAAGGGAGTTGACCCCAAGTTCCTGAGGAACATGAACTTTACCAAGAGACACAACAAGAGAGAACTGAAGAAGATGCAGGCAAACAACGCGAAGGCAATGAGTGCACGCGTAGAGGCCATCAAGGCCCTTGCGAGACCATGGTGGTAAAAACCCAAGATGCCAAAAGGTCCCAGCTGCAAACTCAGCCGTCTTGCTTTCTTCACTCCCCAAGCTTAGGAAGAGGATTAGAAGCCTTAGGCTCTGCCAACCAAAACCCAAGTTTCAAACCAAGGCAGAAGCCTCGGCTCCAGCTAAGGCTCAGGCTGCAGCTCCAGCTCAGGCTTCAAAAGGCACCCAGGCCCCTGTGAAGGCCCCATAGAAATGGTTTCTGCCACTGTGAAGACAGATGGACTGGTGTGACACATCTATACACTCTGCAAATGACCTGAGCCCTATGCTGTTTTTACAAATAAACTTGAGGCAAGACCTGAACTCTGGATACGTTCTAATTTTTAAAAATGTATTCATTTAGGTTTGAATTTATTAATTACACATTTTTAAGAATTCATTTGTGAAACTACCCTTGGCTTAGTACCTTTTTTAGGAGTGGCTTTTTGATGACCTGTTAACTGTCACCAATGGCTCATCATCTATTCAGACTAATAAAATGGTCTCTGGCACATGTTAGCTGTTATAGGAAATCTATTATTAGTAGTCATACAGTTTTATGACTGAGAATTGAACCCAGGATTTTGCACAGGCTAGATACTAATTCTATAACTCAAAATGCACCCAAGTCTCCAAATCTAACTATTGAAAATTCATTCAGAATACTTTGCAGCAATTAGATTAAGATGCTCTTTAGTCTTATCAAAAGCTCCAATTAAAAAAAAATATTTTCAGGGGGCTGGAAGAGATGGCTTAGAGGTTAAGAGCACTGGTTGTTCAAGTCCTGAGTTCAATTCCCAGCAACCACATGGTGGCTTAGAACCATCTATAATGAGATCTGGTGCCCTCTTCTGGTGTGCAGACAGAACACTGTATACATAATAAATAAAACTTTGAAAGGAAAAAAAAAATATTTTAGCAGAATGTGGTGAGGCACTTCTTTAATTCTAGTGCTTTCAAGGCAGAAGTAGACAGACTTCTGATTTCGATATCAGGCTGGTCTACATACTGAGTTCTAAGCCAGGAAAGGATATAATGAGACTCTTTCTCAGAATTAATAAATAAATATAATTTCATTATTGGAAGGAACATGTATATATTATAAGAAACAATTTTTATTACTGTTTATAAGATTATACCATCTAGATTTCAATCACATATACAGCTTACCCCTGATTAAAACTCCAAGGAAATCAGATCAAAGAAATAAGTCTTTCTGACTTCTGCCAACCATTAAATGCGGAAGCTATAACAACGGTTTATAACTAGTCACAGCAAGAATAAAGATAAAAGGGAAACAAAAAGAAATAAAAAGATCAAACATTTGAAAAGAATGCCATTCTATCATCCAAGTTGGCCCATCTCTATTAGAACACTAGTTGATGAAACAGACAGTAAGTACCCTTTCTAAGGAATTATGAAACATGTACTTGAGTGTTTCCAAAGTTATACTCACGCATCATAATCTTGAACTACCAATCCCACAGACCAGATGGCAGTCAGATACTCATTGACACCATTAGGGCTGATGTAGTGCAGGGAATCTGAAGAACTGGGGTCACCATTGGAGCCGGTGAAGTCCACTCCCACCTGCCAAGATAACAATTCTTACTAAAGTAAAGGCAGGGCTATCTGAGCTCGAGGTCCAAGAGAACCTCAGACAAGACCCCAAAGCATCCCAGAATCTCTATATTGCCATCTCCTAACAAATGACCTCAGCATTTCCACAAACAACTCAACAGGCATCAGCATGAAAACCACATGTTCTTTTACTAGACTGAAGATTCATGAACCACAGGATGTAATGACCCATATTTAGGAGCTGTTTTTCTATGTTTGTTTTCTATACCTTCAATTACTTCAGGATATGCATATCTGCTTTCTCTAAAGAGGGAGGGATTATTCATCAACTCATCAACTAAGTCAAAATTTCCATGATGAACCTAGATGATTCATGAGGAAAATCTGTTTAACAGATTGTGTAAATTTCATAGCAAAGGCAGTTTGGCAGTAAATGAATGCTGCAAAATGGAGAGGGAGAAAGGCAACATTTAACAGACTATGCTAGAAAACTCAGTATTACTTACAGTAAAATTCAGCTGGCACCCTCCCATGATGTAGTCAAGAAATGTGCATTCTACAGTAATCTAAAAACAAAAACACATTTATGTTAAAGCTGAACTCCACCAGTGATGGGGCACACCTTTAATCCCAGCATTTGTGGGGCAAAAGCAGGCACATCTCTGAGTTTGAGGTCAGTCTGAGAGCAAGTTCCGGGACAGCCAGAGCTACATTGAGAACTGTGTCTTGAAAACCAAAGGAGGGGAGGGGGAGGTTGAAGATAACTGGAACTCTCAACATACACAAGAGAAACAAAAGGCTATGGGGTGATATATTGTTTATGATCTAATGAAGCTTGTCAGAAGATTAGAATGCAAAGCTAGCCACAGCCATAGATGTCAGGCAGTGGTGGTACACACCTTTAATCCCAGCAGTCATACTAGTGAGCCATAGAGACTGGGAGGGAGGTAAGAACTACTGTCTGGCTGCTTTGCTTTCTCTGATCTTCAGCTTGAACCCCAGTATCTGTCTCTGAGTTGTTATTATTCATGCTACAAGGCTCCCTGGTATATGTGACATAAATACATGGAATCAACCTTACATTTGAGTCCCCGAAATGTCAGGACTTACAAAGAATTTACTACTTAAGCAATATTAAGGTTAAAATATCAGAAGTGCTCATAATGTCTGGTCCCTCCTGAGAATTCACTGTTAGTGATTGAAGGAGCTAGAGACACTTACACACACACACACACACACACACACACACAGAGTGGGAGAGCATGAAAGTAAAAGGAGACTAGTTGGGAAGAAGGATTTGAGGACAAGAGAGGCTAATGGGGGAAGATAAATATGAGCAAAATGCATTATATACATATATAAGAATGTCATAATAAAACCCACATGGTTAACTACTATATGCAAATAAAAAAAATAACAAAAATAAATTCACCATGTGACTAAAACAAAAAGATTAGAATATCAATGGCAAAAGAGGAAATGTAGTTACTGTCAGTTTTATGTAACAAGTCTAATATACTGACAGTTTTAAACAACATTTAGTAATTAAGCCTTAAAAGAATTAAAAACAAAATATGCTCAGTGGGGAAAACTTGGCTTTTCCCCACCATTTATAACAGCTCATGAAAAACTTATACCCAGGATAGATGTACTGGGTCAGACCATTTCCAATCTCACATTTCCTAAGAGTAAATTTTATCATTACTTATACTTTGCTAAAACGTTGCCAATGGGCTCAGTACTGAAGAGCTCCTGCTGTTCTTGCAGAGGACATGGGTTGGTTCCCAGTACCCACATGGAGGCTCACAACTATCTATAATTCCAGATTCAGGACACCTCACACCCTCTTCTGGCCTCCACAGATCACTGCACATATGTGCATATACCTCACACATAGTATACATTCCTAATGTAGGAAAAACACTCAATATACATTAAATTGTATGTATACATGAAGTTGTCAAACCTTAGAAGCAGAGTTACTTGAAAGATTTCTTTACTATTTCAAATCCTATTTTTCCGCCCAAGATGATCACATGCTCATGTGATTTCCACCTGCTTATAGTACTTGTTTGATGTAAAACCACACTGGTACAAGAACTCAGAATGTGAACTCAATACAAGTGGCCAAGGACAACTGACCTCACAGTGCTTTACACTGATAACACCTGAATTCTTGTAGCTTTTTTTCTTTTGTCTCTTTTTCTCATTTATACATTCATATTCAACCTGTGGGAGGATAAAATGAAATAGTAGTTTTTTTTCACCAGCAATAGCCCAATTACTAAAATGAATTTCAATGAACTTTTTCCCTTAAAATCAAATCTTACAAGAAAAAGAAAAAAGAAACTAAATGTTAATCTTGTGAGCAAAGCAAAACAAAAGCATGCTAAGGAAAAAAAATAATAAACAGAATAAAACAGAAACACATGAAGCCCAACTCTGTGGCCAAAAGAAATTAAACTCCTAATATAAATAGAAACTTGATAAGAATGGCAGTCTCCGGTGCATGGATCTTGAGCCTAAGGTATTTCCTTACCAAAAGATACAATCCTCACAGCCTGGGCTGGGCTTCTGTTCTCTGTGGAAGTGTAACAACAGGCCCCCAGACCTTAGCACAACTGACTCCACAATGGAAGTACCATTCAGTCCATAAAACTTAGCAAGTAGACAGTCCCACCAGCCAAAATGAAAGCAAAGACGTAATTTATCAAAGTCCATAGTTCTGGGAAAGTCTCTAAATGCACTAACCTTGCTTTTTGGCTTCTGCAGTTCTGCTGCTGGCTAACTGCTCTTGTTTACTGAATGAAGCATGCCAACCCTGAATATGGTTTTTGTGTGTAAAAACACCCTGAGAAAGGCTCAGTGACACAGTGGGATCTTGAACGCCCTGTGTCCACTAACAAAGACTTTCTATGGGTTTAAATCCATGTCTGAGCAGGTTTCTCTGGTGGATACCCCACAACAGAAACCTTGAAATCAACAACTATTCCATAGTTTACTTAAACTGGTGCATCAATGACTCTTGGGCTTACCCCTAATTTTCAGTATTTAAGATGTTTCAGGGAGGGGTGAAGTCCTTCCATGAAGGAACAGGAAGGGTACACATGTAGATCACAGGACATCTGTCCTGCTTAGTTAGCCATAGGGGACTCACACCTACCACTGAGCCGATCATGCTCTCTGTCTTCCCTGTGTTGGCAGAGCACTGTTTCATCCAGTACTGGATTATGATGTTTTCCCTTCCAAGACACAAGAAGAATGGCTACTCCCACTCCTAGACATGACACTGTAATGATCTTTGCTTTCTTCCCTGTAGTTTGGAGACCTCACCTAGCATTGGCCACCCAGTAAGACATATAACTCATGTATGAATTTTGGATGACATAAAAGTTAAAGATTTTAGGGCTTAATGCAATATACCAAAAAAAACCATGATAAACTAATTGCCAAGCCAAAGAAAAGCATGAATAATAAACAGGTAAACTACAGTGCTTATATAATTGCAAATGTGTGACTTACAGGTGAGTTTCTGGAGGCTTCTTTGAGTTTTGTCATGGTGGTTTGAAATGTTCCAATAAGATCATGTGATCCATCATTGTCATAATCATAACATTCTACCTGGATTTAAATATAATAAAAGTATACAAAAATTAGTATTCTTTATTAAAAAGTATTGGCCATGATAAACGTACTGTTTTAATTAAAGTAAGGGAAAAACCCTTAATTTCAGCATAATTGCAGGAACAGGAGCTATCTAGGAGAAGCAATACTGAAGCATATTCAAACCACAGCTATCCAGAGAACAGGACCTAGACCACAAAAGATGAAAGCCACAAATATGGACACCATTTCACACAAGAAGCAGTTCCCAGTCACTCTACTGTGCTCTCTGTAGCTGCTGATATAAGGCTAAATGCAATTATGTCTAGTCTTTCATTTAATTATCACTGTATAAGACCTAAAAATCAGTGCCCTAACAGCTAAAAATGACACACCTAAGTCCTAGATAATTTAGAGTTACAGGAAACATGTCTGATCAGCTGCAACCTAAGAAGTCTGGGCTTGTAATTGTAAGTTAGGTATGGTAGTGAGAGTTGGTCTGAACATTGAAAAGCTTACAACACAAAGGAAAACTCTAGGGCGAGAATAGTCAGCTCACTGAGGTATCCATGCTAGGTCACACTTATTCTGATCCCATGTAAGAAGGAAGAAATGTAGAGTTCTAGAGTTCTATCCTTAGATCTGGATCTTATTAAATGTCCATTATTTCTTCCCATTCTCTCCTTCCCTCCCTGCCTATTTAAAAAAAAAAAAAAGTTTGCTCTTAGTAGGGGTTGTGTTTGTTTGTTTGCTTGGTGTGTGTGTGTGTCTGTCTGTCTGTCTGTCTATCTGTCTGTCTGTCTGTCTGTTAACTGGCAGATGGCAGATGGAAGAAAATGTAAATTTTCACTAGAATGCTAGAACTTCCCAATGGGAAAATAAGGTACAGTGTTCAAGGCAAGCTGCCTTTAGGGCAAGATGAAAATTGATAACAGGGATGTGAACTTCTAACACATAATTTCAACACATCAATTCATATATATGGATATTTAATGTATACACAGTCATTTTCTCTAGGTAGATCCAAGAGTTACAGAGAATGGAGATGCTCTTATTATAAATCCCATTTTTCTGAAACGGAACTTGAAGGAATTAAGTGCAAAACCATCAGATGCATCTTGTGTGGTGAGCGATAGGAACAAAATAAAATCTCACACCAAACACACTTCTGGAGACTGAAATTTGAAGCAGAAGCATCTAGCAAGTAGAATCTGCTTCTGCCTTGGTGAGAGCTCCACTAGGCTTCCAGCCTCCATGAGGTTGTAGTGACCTACCAAGGTACGATACTTAGGGTCTTACATGCTCATCTGGCAGAATGACAGTTTCTTCTCAGTTCTACACACTGCTTTTCATAAACTGGGTTAGGGTTAGTTAGGGTTCCTATTGCTGTAATTCAACACCAGCACCAAAATCAATGTGGGGAGGGAAAGGGTTTATTTGTTTATCATCAAAATAAGTCAGGACAGAAACTCAAGCAGGGTAGGAACCTGGAGGTGGGAGCTGATACAAAAGTCATGGAGGAGTGCTTCAACTGGTTTGCTCCTCATGACTTGCCCAGCCTATTTTCTTACAGAACCCAGGACCAACTTCCCAGGGGTGGCACCATCCACAATGAGCTGAGCCCTCCCACATCATTCATCAACCAAGAAAATGCACCACAGTCTTGTCCACAGGTCAACCTGGTGGGGGCATTTTGTCAAATGACTCTTTCAAAATGACTCTAGTTTATGTCAAGTTGACATAAAACTAGCCAGTACACTGAAGTCTTTCATTCATTACTTGCATTTTCAGAAACACTTAAATCAATCAATTGACCGATCAATCAATTAAAAGGAGCACATTCTATAGAATTGCAAAGTGCCTTGTTTAAGGAAATGCCTTATTGACAGTTCGACTCCTGCCCCATATATAAAATACCCAATTTTAAACCAACTGCCTTTATCTGACTGACATTGGCAAGGGAAAAAAAAAAAAAAACTGATATTTTTTTTTTCTTGATTACTCCTCTAACAGCAACCTAACATCTTCAATGCCATAGTATACACAGACCAAGACTGAGGTAGGATGAGTCATACCACTTTTCTTTCTTTTCTAGAATTTAAACACCAGTACTATTCACTGTTAAAGCAACAGTATCTGAAGAACTTGTGAAATTCAAATGTATGCATATATACACAAGAACACATGTATATATGTAAAAAACTGCACACATCACGAAATGCATCCTCACTTTTAGGCAAGGTGGAAGCATGCATGATTATTTCTCTTATTCTCTTCATCTTTTAAAAATAATGCATGCTAGAGTGACAACACAGTGATGGAATCACAGAAAATTCTGACTTTATTCTCTGCTCTGTAATTCTTTACTATACCTTTAAGTAATTTCCAAATAGTAAATTGCAGATGTGGGATTATCTGATATTGCAAAGAAATACAGAACTAGAGAACTAAAGTGAGTGATGATGTAGCAAACCAAGTATCACTAAAAACAGATCAAGAGACTTAAGAATGGAAGACAATTGTCAGACAAAGCTCAGAAAATCAGTTTACTTACTATAACAAATTGGCCCTGCAGGCATGCCACTGTGAGCAAAAAATGTTTTAGAAACAAGTATTTGTTGTTAATTTATCTGAAACAATAGTCGAAACATAGACTTCTGCCCTCTCTAGATTTGTCTTAAATTAGAATTTGTAACTACTTTAAAAACATGAAATTCATAGTATGTTTACATATTTATACCATACCTATATTTTCATTGCCCTTTGACACATCATACAAATCACACTTAACAATAACTTTAAATTCTCTATAAACTAGCGACAACTCCTTCCGAAGCGAAGTTCGGAAATTTTAGTGGCTTTTAATTATAGCAGCATCTCTGCTGCTGTTTTATCTGTTAAAATGTTTTTACTTTCAATAGCCTCATGTACAGTAGAAATTACTATCTACTTTATCAGCAAGGAGGTTATGTGACTTGCTCAACATCCTTTACCTGGTTAAAGAGCGAAATTGAAATGTAAGCTATGATCTGATCCCAAACCATGTTGTTATATTATGTCATGCAGTTTCCTATCATCTTTCTTGTTTTTACTGTATTAATTACAATAAGGAACACCAACAAGACCTTACATTTTCTAGAAAGATTTGTGTTAAGACAGACTTTACAGCTGAGGAGACAGCTCAGTCAGAAGGACCTGAGTTTGATCCTCAGACAGAACTCACCTGTAGAAAGGAGAGCATGTGTGTTACACACAGAGTGCTTTAAGTTTGTGTGTGTTCACTGGCTAATTGGTTGGGGTTTTGTTTTGTTTGGTAAATACCTACCAATAAAAACATTTAAAGTAACTGTAGAGACATGATCTGCTTTTCCTTGTCCCTACAATGGCTCCACTGTTTTTCTGTACAACGAAAGGAAGGCTCTGAGATCTCAGAATAACTAGCACCTGCTTTTATTTTCAAGGGATACACTATAGGCCAAGAATGTAGTCAACGCTTCCTATTTGCTGAGCAAAATAATTTCATAAAAAAGAACACATCTAAATTGGATGTTTTATTTTTTAAACAGGTTAAAATGAAAATTATGCTGCACCCTTAAACATTTAGTCAACATATTAAACAACAACAATATAATCAAATATTTATGCCTATAATTTCATTTTAAAAAAATGCTATCTTACATATTAGTTTTAGAGGATAGGTAAAAATATATTCATCTATAGGAGTTATACACAGTGTCTGAGTTGTTATAGTGTGCCTTTGACTTTACAATGGTGTAAAGGTGACACCATTCAGTAGACACTACATCAGTCTTGAATTTTAATCTTTCACTGCACTAGCAACATGTGATGATTCTCTTGTAATGCTGGCAACAAGCCAAACCTGTCAGTTAACCACAGGATCACCATGATAAATACCAACCCTTAATAATGTACTGGGTTGTTGTAATTTGGTAAGTTAGGTATGTTAAATGCATTTTAAATATCATTTCTTCCCTCCTTTTCTTTCTCCCCGTCTTTCCCCTCAAGCAAACACAAGGTCTTGAGATCACTAAGTAATCACTAACCAAGCTATACCTTTAGCCTAACTTATAAGGATTTTTATTATGATGGGTTTACCAGGACATAACCCCATAGTAAACTACATAGTACCTGAGTAATAATTTCAAAATTACCTTAATGGTTTTGTCCATATCTCCATAGCACAGAGAGTTAAGAGAGATTTTAAAAGGCTTCCACACAGGATTCAGGTTGTTTTTGATAACCTGCAAAAAATAAAGGATCTCTTAGAATATGCAGTTCCTCAGTATCTTTCTCTGGGTTCTTGCTACATTCTTACATTCACCCCCTCATTCTATCACTCAATTATTTCCAAGAAAAATTAGTAGGATAGTATTTTATAATCATTATATGATAAGTATAATAAAGTATCCAATTGTAGTACATTCTGAATAAAGAAGAAAGGTGTTTGGGAAATATATCTACTTAATAACAATGTATACTTAGAAATGGTAGCATGTGAATTCTTTGAAATCAGATTACTTCACCATAGTCCTAGAGGATTAAAAAATAGAACACCATAAGAATGAACCTTGTGGATCCTGGGGAAATGTATCAGCAGTTAAAAACACTGGCTGCTCTTCTATAGGATCCAAATTTGATTCCCAGCACCCACATGGTGGCTCAGAACCACCTGTAACTCCTGTTCCCAGGCATCCAATGTCCCCTTCTGGCCTCTATGGGCACAGTACATACATGGTACACAAGCATACATACAAATAAAACACCCATATACAATTTTAAAATATTAAAAAAAGATAAATCTTGCTGTGCTGAACATGAATTGGGAAATTAAATCTAAATATTATATTACATAGATATAAAAAATGACATCCTAGTATAGATTAACACATCTAGTACTCAGATCTTGATGTCTTGATGTATGATAAGACCTGGCCCCTTTTAACTCTGAAACAGGAGAAAATATAATCATATTCTATCAATAGTGAAAAAAACTTGGGATCCATTTGAAGAAGCACTCTTTCATCAAATCTAGTTTAAACAGTGCAATATTAATTAATGTACGATGACAATTTGTTGAGTTTAAAATGAAAAAGAAGAATGCTTGTTAATGTATACATAAGGATTGCAGTGGTTTAAACAAAATGTCCTCCATAGTCAAAGGGCATTTGAATACTTATTTTCCTTTTGGCACTACTGTTTAGGTAGGTTAAGGAGATGTGGCATTACTAGAGGAAGTATGCTTCTCTAGTAGGTAGGTTCTGACGTTTCAAATACACAACATTCCCAATTAACTCTCTGTACTTCCTGCTTGAGGTTCAAATTTAAGCTCTCAGCTTCCAGTTCCAGTGGTCAAGTCTCCACTCTTATCCTTCTGAAACTATAAAACCCAAATAAGTCCTTCTTTCAATAAGTTGCCTTCATCATGGTGTTTTATCACAGTACTAGAAGAGTAATTAATAACAGTGGTGATCTGAGGAAAACAAAAATCACTATTGTATAGCCCCAATAGAATGGATCAAAGCAAGGATCATCAATGGTGACTGAAACCACTGGGCAAAGTGCTAGAGAAAAGCAATTCAGGCATCCTCAAAGTATCACACTGCAAGTAACTTACAAATTATAAACAGAAAACATAGGACTTTATGACTCTCAGATCTTATGGTCACTAGCTTTAACAAACTGCCTGACATCATCAGCCCTGTGACGTCTGAACACCATGAAGACGGAATGTATGGATTGTTCTTGACATAATGTTTGATGTGGATCTAGTTGTACAAAACCACAAGAATCCATTCTAGTCTCATTAATTCAAGCTGTTTCATAACTTGCAAGTATGGGCAGGTAAAAAAAGCTTAGAAATAGGAGCCTACTAGGAAAATGTACAATGTGATACTTCCCTTAGACCTAGACAAACACAATCTATATAAAATGTGCTTGACTCAGAGGAAATCTGAGCATGAATGGTACTGAGAATGGCAGCAGAAAATAGATAGTAATTTCCTTAGGTACAGTGAGGCAGCACACCCTGATTTTTTGAGAGCGAGAGAGTCTCACTATGTAGGCGTGGCTGGCCTGGAACTTAATTTGTAGTTCATAGAGGTCTGTCTGCCTCCAGAGTACTGAGATTAAAGGTGTGTATCCTCACTTCTGGCTGCCTTTATTCCTGAAAGAGCCAGATACAACATTTAAAGGGAATCTAGATGCTTGTAGTTAACATCAGGATGGTTTCCCAAAAGAAAAATGAATTGTCTCTATAAGTGTGTGTGTATTTTTGTGTTTGAGAGAGAGACAGAGAAAAAACAAGCAAAATGCAATTTAAAGTTTTTAAAAAATGAAAATAAGCATGACAGTGTGTCTTTTTTAAGAGAAAAGAGTAAGCAAATGAGCATACTGTATATCTCTGGCAGCATAAAAATCTGAATTAAAATGATAGATTCAAGCACTTACCTCTGTTCGGTGAACCATCAGCCAGTGGCCATCTGAGGTCTGCTTGTGAAACTCCAAGTATGGATCTGACTTTCCAAACAGATCCTACATTTAAACAAATAATTTTCACTCTCTTATGAAACCCCATGTGAATATATCTGCTACATATTATTCATATATACACACATACATACATGTTTATATAACCACACAAGTCCAACTCTATAGTACAGTTATACCAGTTGCAAATATCAATCCCATCACCTCTAACGTAACTCAGAAATGTGCAGAAGTGGGAGGGAGCAATGGCTCAGCTGTTAAAGGCTAGACTCACAATAAAAAAAATATAAGAAATACACTATTATTAGGGAGGATGAATAATCTGTGTATCAAAAATATGGTACTTTAAAATATGTTGATAAAATGTGCTTTGGTTTAATGTCAGCATTTTAAGTTTCCATTCAGATAATATTAAACACATAAATGATATCCCAAACAGTATCCATATGAACTCTAAGAGAGACAGGGTAGTTAGTCATTGGAAAGGTGACTGCAGGACTGTAGTAACTTTTCCAAGGTCACATACTTTGGTAGATTTGGGCTTTAACTGTGTATCTCTGCCTTCCATATCTGACTCCCTTTCATTAATTCTAAACATTAGATATAAAGCTGTTGGCCTGTTACTAGTGTTTCTTATTGGCTAGCTCTGTCTTAAATATTAACCCATTTCTATTAATCTAAGTGTTTCTACATGGTCTTATCTTACCAGAGAGAGGGTCTGGACCTCTTCTATGTGTGTTATTTGGGACTGACATGGCTATGGAACCAGCATGGCAGGAAAACTACTAGTAACAATATGGTGATCATTCTTTTGCTTATCTTCATTTTGAAACATACATATTACTAAGTTCAAATTACTCAGTGTTTTTAAAAATAGATGGGACGCTTCTTAATACATGTAGATTTGTCACTCTACTGAAGATTTATTTAGTCTTGAACTAGCCTCAGTATTTAATTATGACCTAAGCTAGGGCTGGAGAGATTGCTCAATGGTTAAAAGCACCTGAAGCTCTTTTAGATGTCCCTGAATTAGTTCCCAGGACCCACATCAGGTAGTTCAAACCACAAGTAGTAATTCTAGTTCCAGGGGATCCAGCTCCCTATTCTGTATCTGTGGATACAAGGCATAAACAAGGTACACACACATATATGTAGGCACTCAAGACACACACATAAACAAAATATTTTTCTTCAAAGACCTATGATAGGACTATTTCTCTTTTGAGCAAATTTAATGTCAAACAAATAATATATTGGGTACAGTAAAAAATAAAGAAGACTACAGGGCAGTTTTTATTTTAACCTTATCTCTAAGAACCTTAAATAAATGCAAGATACTTTTTTTTCTTTGCCTCACATGTGCTTTGTGTTCCTGTTTCTGTTCATCCTGTGTCCAATGCTCTATAACACAAGAATGAGTGAAGTATGGTCATTTTAACTTCACAGCCTTATGGAAATCACAGGGAACAATAGATAATTCTACTATTCTCTAGAAGTTTTAATTATAATTTACTTATCACCAAAACTACAAATTGGAACACATAAGTTTTTTTCCCTTTTTTTTTAAATTTAAATTTGAAACAAGCTTCTGTCAATCCAGTTCCTGTCCTCCCCTGTACCCCAATCAACTCTCATCCCATCCCCTTTCTGCTCCCCAGGGAGGGTGATGCCTGCAGGACACTTTTTTGTACTCTTATTTTCTACAACTGTTAAGAGTCTTATCAAGTAAGTCAACTTAAAACACCACACACACTTTCTTCATAAACACAGAACTGTTCCTAGAATGTATTTCCATGCTCCTTACAGAGGGGAGTGAACTGACCTCATCTGTTGTTATTCATATACCTTTATGGAAAAACAGGTTTTTGCCATGTGTGGCTTGTCCTTGTGATTGAAAAACTTAGGTGATTTTTCTTAACCCTCGGAGTATAAATTGTCTGATGCTCTGGATAACGCTGATTATTGCATTTAGTCTGCCTAATTTTAGTTCCCACTCTCCCAGGTTCACTCCACCAACTAGAACAGTAAACTGTATGTACCTGCTAAACTAGATTTACTTAAGGGCTGAGAGTGGATAATTAAATAACAAACCCAAGCACAATTATAAAAATATATAAAGAATATTTACAAACATGTAAGTATATGTATGTACACATATGTATAAGTTGGTGAGCATCTATGTGTATATGTGCACATACACATATGTAAAAATCTTAGGTTTTTATGAAATTCAACTCACAAAATATAAACATTTAAAAAATATTACAGGGGGCTGGAGAGATGGCTCAGCACTTAAGAGCACTGACTGCTTGTTCCCAGCATCCACATGGCAGCTCATAACTGTCCATATCTCCTGTTCCAGGAGATCTGACACCCTCACACAGACATACACCCAGGTAAAGTACCAGTGTAAATAAAATACAAATAAATAAATAATTTAAAAATATTACAGGAAAGAAGCAAGAACAGAACAAAAAGAAAGAGAAGATAAAGTCTCTTGGGTGTACTTTGTTTTGTAGATTTAGGTTTGAAACTATGGGACACACACACACACACACATTCTTATTTTATATATTGATCCCAGTTTCCTCTCCCTCCCTCCCATACCCCCCCCAACCCTTCTCTCATCCCAACCCTTCCCCCCCACTACACAGGAAAGGTGATGCCTTCCAGGAGGGATCATCAAAATCATTTGGAGTAGGGTCTAGGCCCTCCCTCCTGCCTCTAGGCTAAAGGAGTATTCCTCCATGGGGAAAATGATCCCAAAGTCCTTTCATGCACCAGGGATACATCCTGGTTCCACTGTCAGAGTTCCCTAAGACTACCCAGGCCTTCTAACTGAGACCTAAATCTTGGGGGTCTGAGTCAGTACAATGCTGGCTTCCCAGCTATCAGTCTGGGGGTCCATGAGCTCCCCCTTGTTCAGGTCAGCTGTCTTTATGGGTTTCTGTAGCCTGGTCTTGACCCCTTTTCTGATCACTCCTCACTCTCTGCAACTGGATTCCAGGAGTTCTGCTCAGTGTTTAGCTGTGGGTATCTACTTCTGTTTCCATCAGCTACTAGAAGAGGGCTCTATGATGGCATATAAGTTAGTCATCACTCTCATTATGAAAGAAGGGCATTTAAGGTAGCTTCTCCACTGTTGTTCAGATAGGGACTTGTTTCTTTAGAGATAGGTGCTCATTATGTGGCCTAGGGATCTCAAACTTGTAATATTCTTACCTGTTTCCTGAGTGTCAACTCTACAAGTATCATGGCCACACTTGGGAAGAGTGTAATAATCCTCTCTCTTTTTGTGTATGTGGTGATGAAGATTAAATTAAATAGACTAGGCAAGCACTCTACTACTGAATCACACACCCAATTTTTACATGATTTTAAACCAAAGCTTTTTAAAAAGCAATTCCTAATACCAAGTGCAAAATCAAATTTTTTGTCACTGTGATAGAGATTAGTTATTTCATTAAAATGCAATAATTTAACTTCACCTGAGTAGAATATATATGCCTTAGCTCACACTGTAGTACAAGTACTACTCATACCATTGATATTTTATTCTGAAATAAGTAGTAAGAAAAAATATGATTGTGCTAGTATCTTTAAGAATTGTGATTTTTCAGCATAAGAGAAAAGAGGTACACAAGCAAAAGACTCTCTGAGTCTGTATTTGAATTGAAAATAGTTGTATAAATTATGATTTAGTTTTTTTGGTTTTTGAGATTGGGTCTAACTATGCAATCAAATGATCTTAAACTCAGGAGCCTCCTGCTTCAGCTATCTGAGTAATGACATAACAGGCATGCACCACTATACCTGGCCATTTAGTCTTATTCAAAAAATTGCCAGGCATGGTGGCACACACTTTTAATTCCAGCACTTGGAAGGCAAAGACTGGAAGATCTCTGTGAGTTGGAGGCCAGCCTCATTTACACAGTGAATTTCTGAACTACATAAAGAGAAGACCCTGTGTCAAAATAAATAAACAGATAAATGAATAAATAAATACATAAATAGTAAATACCTTTTCCTATCAGGCATGATGGCTCATACATGTAATCTCAGTACTTGGGAAGTAGAGGCAGGAGAACTGTCATGAGTTTGAAGTTAAAAAAGAAAAAAATAAGAAGAAAAATGTGGGGGGGGGAGCTGGAGCAATGATGACTCAGCAGTTAAGACACTTGCTGGACAATGATGACTCAGCAGTTAAGAAACTTGTGCAGCTGTGGACCAGACTTACGATTCCATTATATACCTAACAGGTCAGGCATCTCAGACATCTGTAATTCTAGATCTGAGGGATCCAGTGCCCTCCTCTTGCTTCTCTGCACACAACCATATGTGCATGGGGGCATATATTCATATTCACACATAAAATTAATCTTAGAACAGACATTTTCTCTGGGTCTATACACTAAAAGGGCTAGAAACAAACCCTGAGTGACAGCACCAGCAAACAGTAAGCACCTCTACCCTAGTGTGGCCCAAAATACACAACCACTAAAATGAGATCAGGTTCCTTTAAATGTGCCAGTCTGGGGCAGAAGTTACATAAAATTAACTATCATGTCATCTGACAGAAATAGAACAAGGGGACTATATACAGATTCCTGTTTGTACCAAAATGTCTCAAACCTGAGGCTGGGGTTGGGATACTTTGAATATCAACCAGAATTCACATGTTGTAGTAAGCAGTTATTATCTATGAGTTTATAGTTATTTAAAGAATAAAATAAAAACAACAGAAAATACTTAGTAGCCACATCTGGAGGATGCTAGGGAACCAATTTATTCAGGGAGAGAAAAGCAAAGATGTATACAAAGGGTATGAAATGTTTTGTCATTCCTATATAGAACATACTTCAGTGATCAAATAATTAAAAGATAAATATTGGGACTGGATAGAAGGTTCAGCACTTAAAAGTACTTCTTACTCTTGCAGAGGATGCAGGGTCAATTTCTAGCACACACATAGTGACTCACAACCATCTATAACTCCAGTTCCTGGGGAGCTGAACATCTCTTCTAACCACCACAGGCTTCATGCACACACATGCACAATGGCAAAAGACACAAATGCATAAAATAAAATAAAATAAATGTAATAACATACCCCTCAAATAAGAGAGAATTAGTTTGAGGAAATGTCTCTCCATAGAAACATTTTACTAAGAAATGGAAGCCTAGCAGACTAAGAATTTTAGTTTCATATACCTGTAAGATAATATATGCAGGTAGCTATCATCAATAGCCATTAAAATCACCACAATATATTAGCCCCTGGTAGAGTTATACACGACAACTGATGACATTGTCTTTCCATCAATTCAAAATACTATCAGATCAGCCTACTGAAACCAGGAAACAGAGAATACAGCATGAGAAATGATATCACAGGGATTTATTAAGCCATATGCTAAATGTACAAACTTCTATCAGACAATAGAGTCTTTTCCTACCTGTATGGACAGACAGATGAATGGATGTGGGATGGGAAAGGAAGGAAGGAGTGAGAGAGAGATGACAAGAAAAGAAAGACACAACAAAGAATTTATAGATCAAAACATATCTTAAGAGGCATTTTAAATAATTACACTTTAAAACACCTCTAGAAACATCAAAATATTCGTGCTCAAAATGATATGGTGTCTGGGAAATGGATAAAGACAAACAAAATTCACCATGGATCAAAACTGTCAGAGATGGCTGACAGAATATGATATTTGTTGGGTTTTTTTTTTGTTTTGTTTTGTTTTTTTGGTTTCTCAAGACAGGGTTTCTCTGTGTATCCCTCACTGTCCTGGAACTAGCTCTGTAAACCAGGCTGGCCTAGAACTCACAAAGATCTGCCTGCCTTTGCCTCCCAAGTGCTGCTAAAGGTGTGCACCTTCACTGCCTTGCTGCTGAATGGTTTTATTTTGTTTTGAGACATGGTAGCACTGTCACTACGTAGCAATGGCTGGTTTGGAACTCACTCTGTAAACTAGGATGGTCGGAACTCATAGAGATCTTCCTGCCTCTGTCTCCCAAGTGCTGGGATTAAAAAAGTATACATGACCATACATGGCAATACGCTAGTTTTTAAAAATGCTATCCTATTGATGTTATATTAACTTTTAAAGCCCCTGTAAACTAGTCTTAAGATACTTTCAAATTAAGTTTAAGATAAACAAAAATGGTGAAGAATACTATATACTGTGTGTATTCAGTTTTGAAATGTAAAAGGAGTAGCAGGTTTATAATTAATAAGCCACAGGCTTTTTGCTTTCCCCCTAAAGGTTATTAAAATACTTTCTGAAACTTTACTATAACATTAATGTTTGTATTCTTTTAATCTTTAGTTGCATCTTCATGAAAATGCTGGAGGGGAAAAAAAGTGCTATTTAAGCATCCCTCAGGAGAAAGAGAGGAAAGAAGGAGGAGAAAGGAGAATGCAGTGCTCAGATAACTTCATTGGCAATATCTCAAAAAGGAATCAGTGTTTAAAAAAAAAAAACAAAAACAAATTGATAATATCCTTGTAAAATACACAAAACCTACCCACCTTATTATCCAGTTTTCTGGCTTCCATTTCAAACAAGACCACTCTGTTATCCTTGATTTCTTCTGCTGAAATCTGCAAGTAGATATGGTAAGTGAAGGGAAATGAAGTACTCATGAACTCAGTACTTTGTTTTCATTTTATTTATGGTACAGGGGATTCAATCCAGATTGCGGCACAAGTTAGGTAAGCATCTTATCACTGATAGAAGTCTCTTTGTGAATGTGGTTACTTAAGTCAGCTGTTTTAGGGGTATGTGTAGCAGGGGTAAGATTTGCATATTTTATCACACAATGTGTCTGTAAACATATTGTCACTGAGTATATGGTCAAGAATGTTCAAGAGTAAAAGTAATAGCCAGAAAAAATATGTGCTTTTCTAAATATTCCTATTTCATAGAAAAATCAGAAGACAGAAGGATTTCCTTTATACAAAAACAGCTAAAATTCTGCACACATTGAGAAGGAAGAATAAATACATCCTATTTAGAGAACTTTAAGCTGGAATATGAGGCCAGTGCTTTTTCATCCAGTATAACTGGAGTCACTCTACCCTAAGTCCAATGCCAGGCTATCTCACCTGCCTTTGTTTTTAGCCTACTCTATAGGAAAGGCTCAAAAACGGGGGGGAGGGGTGAGGGGGAGAAGGGTTAAGACTCGGAACTGCTCCTTTAGGTGGAAATTCTTAGTAAGAGGCAAAAGACTTACATGATCTGACATGAAGCCAGTGTCTTAACTATTGATAATGTTCTCTGTAGCACTAAAGTCAATCATCTAAGTATTGTGCTTCTGGAAATCTAAGCTAGAGACAAACAGCTGCTGAGAAAAACATACTTGACAATTGTAATTGCCAGGCTTTCGTGTCACAGAAAACCAGTTAGAATAGTACCATTGCTTATGGGAACACTAAAGATATAAGGTATTCAAATGCTTGTTATCTGATAACTGAAAAACTAAAATATGGTAGAATGAATGAATGAATATATATACACGCACTTGTTCAGAGCCAGTAACGAGCAACGGAAAACTTGGGTGTAATGACATGAAGCAGAAGCAATGACAGGAAGCTGCAGGAAAGAGTCTCTAGAGCTTTTGCTTGGTTTTGTTATTTTTTTTTTTTTTTTTTTTTTTTTTTTTACTTTTTAGACCATACCCAGCCAAGAGTTTCTAGGTTCAGTGGCCATGTTATAATATCCATTTAGATTGAAATCCATCATAGGGAGTTTGTGTCATGGCAAGAGGACCATGCTTCCTTTGTGGAGAACCAATCCGATTCATCCAGTTTACTATGCCTTTCCTCTCTAACTTATGAACTGACACATTCAAGGAAGAAGTGCTCCTGACCTTGATGACAACTTAAACAACTGAAGAAACGAATCCCTATAATTCATTTTTTTCTTCTGTTAGCAAGAAAGCTTCCATTTCTAATGACTATTAGCATAGGGTGAATGGAATGCAATGTTCAAGATCAACTGATCAGGCACAGCTATAGATTATTTGCTTGTTATCTCCTGTCTTATTAGACTTAATAGACTCTCCCTTGAAGTAAAAGATTATATTATTTTTACCGTAATACTCCCCTTCCCTGCAGGTCTGCCATTTCTGAGCACCAGTGGTCGAGTTAACTTCTTACTGGAAACAATCTGTCAAAAGCAGAAAGCAATACTTCATCTTGTGAATTGCTGAACCACATACTTTTTTTAAAAAAAGAAGTTGAATATAAAGTTCACTTAAAGTCATTAGAAAGTGTGACATTAAAACTATATCCCTTAAAGACATTTGGAATGCATCTTTAAATTTAAAACCCATTTGCAAAAATCTTGAAGAACTTCTGTCTGGCAGCTATTATCTCCCTACCCATTAGGTTGCTCACTCATTCCTTAAGAGTTTAGCTCATTCCTCAGAATGGAAAAAAAAAAAAAAAAAAAAAAAAAAGAGTCCAGATTTTCATCTCCTATACTGGCCTAAAAACCCTCTGAAGGTAAAGGTAGGCCTCAGAATACCCAATACCTGCGATTCAATTTTCCAACTGGCACAGAACTTTGATATGTAACTTCTAGAAAAGACCACATTTCTTGCTGGTGCAGTGGTAGTGCTCACCTTTAATCTCAGTACTGGAGAGGCAGAGGCAGGTGTCTCTCTCTCTGTGAGTTCAAGGCCAGCCTGGTCTACACAGAGAAACCCTGTCTCAAAAGATCATGTTGCTTAAAATGATAAAGTATTTATGTCTAGGTTCTTTGAAAAATGTCTTTCAAATTCATTAGAACTTTGGCGACATTGTGATTTTTATTCTTTGATTAATAAATATGCCTCTACTTGTGTTATAAAATACTACTCATGAACAACACAACTAATCAGTTCCATACTGCCCTTGAGACATGAGAACTAGAAGTGATTCAAACCTGGAAAATAAATCCAGAAAAGCAACTCTGAGAAATAACTGTAACTCAATGAAAATAAAAATTATTCTCACTTCCCTGTGTTTTTCTCAATTTATACAAATGATCATGATCTTTCTATATAAATCAGAGTTAAGAGCAAAAGGACAAACCGCTACTCTGAACATGCTCATAAAATGACACAAGTGACAGAGCTAGCTCAGGAAATTACCCTGAGAAGTCTAAGGGGTCATTGAAGATTTGAGGGGGAAGAGAGCTAAATGGCACACTTACGGTGGTGGGAAGAAGAGAGATGGGGAACAGGCAGTAGCAAAACTACGGTTACAAAACAGCAACAAAGTAATTTTATGGTTGGGGGTCACCACAACTTCAGGAATTCTATTAAAGGGTCACAGCATTAGGAAGGCTGAGAACCACTACCCTAGAGTCTCACTGGAGTCATCCTGGAAGGAACACAAACCTAATACAACTAAAGTACAAGATGACTATTACAGAAATACCAACTTTTAAAAATTATACTAACAACCTGTGATGGATTAAATAAGAATGGCCCCCATAGGCTCATATACTTGAAAGCTTGGTCATCAGGGAGTAGCACTACATGGCAGGGATTAGGAGGTGTGGCCTTGTTGGAGTAAGTATGGTCTTGTTGGAAGAAGTGTGCCACTTGGGGTAAGCTTTGGGATTTCAAATGATCAAGCCAGGCCCAGTGTCTCATTCTTCCAGCTGCCTGTGGATCCTGATGTAGAACTCTCAGCTACTCTCCAGCATCATGTCTTCCTGCATGCTGCCATCCTTCCTAACATGATGGCAATAGACTAAACCTCTAAATTATAAGCCAGCCCCAAATAAATGTTTTCCTTTATAAGAGTTGCTGTGTGGTCATGGTATTTTTTTCACAGCAATAGAACACTGATTAAGACACAATGTTTAGCAGGGCGGTGGTGGTGCATGACTTTAGTCCCAGCACTCAGAAGGCACAGGCAGGTGGCTCTGTGAGTTCGAGGCCAGCCTGGTCTACTTATCAAGTTCTAGGACAGCCTCCAAAGCTACAGAGAAAACCCTGTTTTGAAGGAAAAAAAAAAAAAAAAAAAAAAAAAAAAAAAAAGACACAACATTTATCAAAAACACTCAACTCTTTGGTTTAAACCCCACACAAAATAGCTAGATGTGATGGCACACACATGTAATCATATAACACTCTGGAGGCAGAGGTTAGAGGGTTACCATATTTTTAAGTCCAAACTAGGCTACATAGCAACTATGAGGACAACCTCCCCCACCCAAAAAAAAAAAAAAAAACAAAAACAAAAAACAAGCAAGCAAACAAACAAACATCCAGACAAATGAAAAGGTAATGAGAACTAAATACTCACTTGTCCAAGAGTAACTTCAAATTCTCCTAAGAAGTCATCATCACTCAGCTCTATAGTTTTGTTGTCAATGTCGTAAATTCCAAATTTCAATTTCTGAACAACTTCAAAGTAGTAATCAATAATAAATGTCTTAGAAAATTTTGGGCTCAAAGAATTCTTAATCCTTTCTGTCCGTTCAACCTATACTCACACACACACACACCAAAAAAAAAAAAAAAAAAAAAAAAGACTTTTTTCAGATCCAAGAACTTAGATTTTTTTTTTTAACATCTTTATGTTATACATGAGCATGAAGACTAAAGGAAATTTCTCTTGTTAAAATTTGTATATATTTGGAGGAATACTGATAGTATGACATATATGAGGTCAGGGGACAATTTGCAGAGGTCAGCTGAAAAATTGAAGAGTCAGTTCTTCCCTATCATGTGAGTTCTGGGCTCAAACATAAATTGTTTTGTTTAGCCATCTAGCCATTGAGCCATATCACTGGTCTATTTGTCATTTATATTTTGGGAATTTCTCTATAAACATGAGGAATTGTGCTATCAAGGGCAAATATATAGGGGAAAAATGCACTAACAGATGAGATGGTGCTGTGCTGTTGTTTGTTGACATATATGGGTGTTTTCCCTACATATACATCTGTGGACCACATGGGTACAGTGCCTGCAAAAAACCAGAAGGGGGTTCCAGATCCAGGGGAGGGAATAGGAGTTGCAGGTAGCTAAGCTATCATGTAGTTGCTGAGAATAGATCCCAAGTCATCTGGAAGATCAGCCAGGGCTCTTAACCTTCTAAGCCATATCTCCAATCCTACAATATTATTTTTAATATTTTAAGACAAACTCTTAATACTGTAAAATAGAAATGTAGACTGCTTTCCAGTGAAATTAAATAATATTACCTCATACCACTGTTGACCACTTGTGTTCATAAACAGCACACATAAAGGGTCCGACTTTGATGTTACATCTTTATCCAAAAGGTTGTCACAGGAAACATTTAGTTCCACCTTCGTGACACACTGGGCAGCCATGTCTTGAGCTGTCGGAGAACCAACGAGAAACAGTATCTTTAAGAGGCACAGTCACACCTTCCTGCCACCGAATCCCCCAGAAGAACCTGAAGGCAGAACAAAGGACCCAGCATCAGGACCCATTCCTGTCTTGCCCCTTTACCCCACAGTAGAGAGGTGAGTACAAGGGATGCCTCCAGCTGGCCACTTCCCCCTGTTAGAGTCCCCTGACCTGAGGCCACCAGACCCTCCTGCCACCAAATACCCGAGAGTGGCCTGGAGGCAGAACGAAGTATCCAGCATCGAATGCCATTTCTGTCATGCCCCTGCACCCTCCTTGAGAGAGGAGAGGATAGAGCCTAGAGCCATACCCACTAGGAGAGGGAGAGACCCCACCTTTACCCACTGGAAGAAGAGGTGGGAAGACGACACAAAAACAATTATATGACAATATATGACTTATATGACAAGACCAGAGTCTAGGGATTCTATGCCAGCAAGATCCAAACATCCCAACACAGATGAAGCAGACAAGAATGACCTTAAAAACAACTTTATGAAAATGACAGAGGCCCTCAAAGAAAATATGAGAAAATTGCTTAAAGAAACAGAAGAAAAAACAAACCAAAAAATGCAAGAAATGAACAAATCTCCTAAAGAAAGCCAAGGGGGGGGCATATGAAGGAAATAATTCAAACTGTCCATGACCTGAAAACTGAAATAGAGACAATAAAGAAAACACAAACTGAGGGAATGCTGGAAATGGAAAAGCTGGGTAAAGGATCAGGAACTACAGACACAAGCATAACCAACAGAATACAAAAGATGGAAGAGAGAATCTCGGGAGCTGAAGATAAACTAGAGGAAATATACTCATCAACCAAAGAAAATAGAAAATCCAACAAATCCTTAACACAAACTATCCCAGAAACATGGGACACCATGAAAAGGCCAAACCTAAGAATAATAGGTATAGAAGAAGGTGAAGAAGTCCAGCTTAAAGGTGCAGGAAACATATTCAACAAAATCATAGAAGGAAACTTTCCAAACCTGAAGAAGGACATGTCTATGAAAGTATAAGAAGCTTACCAAACACCAAACAAACTGGACCCCCCCAAAAAAAAAACAAAAAAAAGAAGTCCCCTCACCACATAATAATCAAAACACCAAAACATACAGAATAGAGAAAGAATATTAAGAGCAGTGAAGGAAAAAGGCCAAGTAAATATAAAGGCAGACCTATCAGAATTACACCTGACTTCTGCATGGAAACTATGAAAGCCAGAAGGTCCTGGATAGATGTTCTACAAACACTAAGAGACGACGGATGCCAGCCCAGACTACTATAATCCAGCAAAACTCTCAATCACTATAGATGGAGAAAACAAGATATTCCACAATAAAACATATCTACATATCCAGCCCTACAGAAAGCTCTGGAAGTAAAACTCCAACCCAAGGAAGTTAACTACACTCAGAAAATCATAGGCAATAGATAACCCCACTTTACTAGAAGTGAAAGGAAAAAGCAGGGTAAATCTACTCACAATACCACCAACAACAAAAAAATCAAAAACAAAAATTAACAATCAAGTGTCCTTAATTTCCCTCAATAGCAATGGTCTTAACTCACTTATAAAAAGACACAGGCCAACAGAATGGACATGAAGACAGAATCCATACTTCTGTTGCATACAAGAAACACACTTCAACTTTAAAGGCAGATGCTACCTCAGAGTAAAGGGTTTGGAAAAGATCTTCCAGTCAAATGGACCCAAGAAACAAGCTGGTGTAGCTATCCTAATATCTATCAACAAGATAGACAAACCTTTATCCAAACTAACCAAAAAAGCAGGGAGTGAACATGAAAATTAACAAAATCAAAAAAGGGGATATAACAATGGACACTGAGGAAATCCAGAGAATCTTCAGGTCATACTTTGAAAACTTGTACTCCACAAAATTCAAAAATTTAAAGGAAATGAACAAATTTCTGGATAGATATCACTTACCAAAATTAAATCAAGAACAGATAAGCAATTTAAAATAGACCTATAACCCCTAATGAAATAGAAGCAGTCATCAAAAGTCTACTAACCAAAAAAAGCCCAGGGCCAGATGGTTTCAGCCCAGAGTTGTATCAGAAATTTAAAGAACAGCTAATACCAATACACCTCAAGATGTTCCACACACAAAAAGCAAAAGGTTCATTACCAAACTCTCTTTATGAGGCCACAATTACCTTGGTACCCAAACCACACAAATACACAACCAAGAAAGAGAACTATAGACTAATATCCCTCATGGACACTGATGCAAAAATACTCAATAATTAACAGTGGCAAATCAAATCCAAGAATACATCAGAGAAATCATCCACCATGACCAAGTAGGCTTCATCTGGGAATGCAGGGATGGTTCAATATACGAAAATCTATCAACGTGCTCTCTTTTGCTCTTTCTCTGTTCTCTTTTCTCTCTTTTCAGCTCTTCTCTCTGTCTCTACTCTTTCTCCTCTTCTCTTCTGTTCCTGGTGCCTCTATGTCTCTTCCATTCCTCCTCACTCCCCTTCTAAATAAACAAACGCCTCATTTAAGCAAAAAAAGAAAGAAAAAGAAAAAAAATCCATCAATGTAATCCACCATATAAACAAACTGAAAAAGAAAAACCATGTGATCATCTCACTAGATGCTAAAAAAGCCAACAACAGGAATATATGTAAACATACTAAAAGCAATATACAGTATAAGCAACAGCCAACATCAAACTAATGAAGAGAAACTCAAAGCAATTCCTCTAAAATCAGGAACAAGACAAGGCTGTCTCCATATCCCTTCAATATTGTATTTGAAGTTCTAGCTAAAGCAATAAGACAACTAAAGGAGATCAAGGGGATACAAATTGGAAAGGAAGAAGTCAAACTGTCACTATTTGCATATGATATGACAGCTTAGATAAGTGACTGGAATAACTCCACAAGGGAACTTCTACAGCTGATAAACACCTTCAGTAAAGTGACAGGACAAAAGATTAACTCAAAAAAAAAAAAAAAAAAAAAAAAAAAAAGTCAGTAGCCCTACTATATACAGACAATAAAGGGGCTGAGAAAGAAATCAGAGAAACATCACCCTTTACAATAGCCACAACAACATAAAATATCTTGGGGTAATGCTAACCAAACAAGTGAAAGACCTATATTAAGAACTTTGAGTCTTTCAAGAAAGAAATTAAAGAAGATACCAAAGAATGAAAAGATCTCCCATGCTCTTGGATAGGTAGGGTCAACATAGTAAAAATGGCAATTTTGCAAAAAGTAATCTACAGATTCAATGAAATCCCCATCAAAATCCCAACACAATTCTTCACAAGCCTTGAAAGGACAATACTCAACTTTATATGGAAAAACAAAGGACCCACGATAGCCAAAACAACCCTGAACAATAAAGGAACTTCTGGAGGCATCACAATCCCTGACTTCAAGCTCTAGTATAGAGCTATAGTTCTGAAAACAGCTTGGTATTGGCACAAAAATAGACAGGTAGACCAATGGAATTGAATTGAAATCCCTAATATTAACCCACACACCTATGAACACTTGATTTTTGACAAAACAGCTAAAAGTATACAATGGAAAGAGGAAAGCATCTTCAACAAATGGTGCTGGCATAACTGGATGCTGGTGTGTAAAAGACTGCAGATAGACCCATGTCTATCACCATGCACAAAACTTAAGTGAAAATGGATCAAAGACCTCAACATAAATCCAGCCACACTGAACTTCTTAGCAGAGAAAGTAGGGGTTCCCTTGAAGAATTGATAGAAGAGACTGTTTCTTGAACATAATACTAGTAGCAAAGACACTGAGGTTGACAATTTGTAAATGGGACCTCCAGAAACTGAGAAGCTTCTGTAAAGAACACAGTCAATAAGAAAAACCGTCAGCTCACAGAGTGGGAAAAGATCTTCAACAACCCCACATCTAACAGAGGGCTGATCTCCAAAATATACAAGGAACTCAAGAAGCTAGTCACCAAAACAGCAAATAATGCAATTAAAATGTGGGTACAGCCGGGCGTTGGTAGTACATGCCTTTAATCCCAGCACTCGGGAGGCAGAGGCATGTGGATCTCTGCGAGTTTGAGTCAGCCTGATCTACAGAACTAGTTCCAGGACAGGCTCCAAAGCAATAGAGAGAAACCTTGTCTCAGGGGAAAAAAAAAAAAAAAAAATGTGGGGTACAGTACTGAATAGAGAATTCTCAATAGAGGAATCCAAAAATGGGTGAAAGACACTTAAGAAAGTTCTGAACATCTTAGTCAGAGAAATGCCAATCAAGGAAACTTTGGGATACCATCTTACTCCCGTCAGCATGGCTAAAATTGGAAATACCAATGACAGTTTATGCTGGAGAGGATATGGAGAGAGGAGTACACTCCTCCACTGCTGTCCATCTTTCTGTCCCCTGAGTCCTGTGATTAAAGGTTGTGCCACCACTACTTAGCTCTATGGCTAGCTAGTATGACTGCTGGGATTAAAGGTGTGTATCACCACTGCCTGACCTCTATGGCTTGTGTCTAGCTTTACATTCTGAAGCCTCTTGCAAGCTTTATTAAATCATAAATAATATATGACCAAAAAAATTCTCTACAACAAACCAAACAAGTTTGCTTCTAAAGATGGGGAGAACTCAACCAAGAATATAAGTATTTATGCACAAAATGATTCTCACATCAGAGGCACAGCATATCAGTAGAAAAATATTTTTTCTCTCCTGAGTAGTCTCAAACAAAAGCTACACAAACAATATGCTGGCATGGCAAATTATTTAAGAACTTGCTGACAGTTACCATTACTACACTGTGGCCAGAAAGCAAATTCCCTCTACAACAACACTCTAATCACCCAAACGAGTCAGACGGCCAGCCGCCTCTCTATGCAATATACCCACTGACCTCCAGAAATCCAGTACAGTGAATAGCAAGTGGAAGAAATTAAGTAAACATTTGGGTCTAGAATTTTGCAGCTATGA